TCAATGGGGAACATCTCCTTCAGCGCTTTCTGCAGAGCAGAGCCAGGCACAACAGTGAGGATGGCACCAGGGGAACACGCTGTGACACCCACTCCTCTGCCCCTGGCTTGACTCCTTTCCTGGTGCTCACCCTGCTGCCACTGGCATGTCCTGGCTGGATCCCACACCCCAGCACTGCGTGCCCATGGACACAGAGCCAGTGGCTCCCGTCTTCAAAAGAGATCAAAGAACTGGACCCAGGAGCCTCTTTTGAACCAGGTTTGCTTTGAGGTAATTTCAGATGGCATTCACCCCCCTTTTTCCCCACCCCAAGCCCATGTGTCCTAGGAGGACTCACGTGGAACTCATATATCTCAGTGAAGCGGCGGTAGACGACCTTTTCGGAGAGGTCATTCCACTTCACCAGGAACATGTAGACCTGAGGAGCAAAGCAGAGGCTGCAGATTTGCAGGCAAGTGGGACACCACTCCCCACTGTGCCCAGGGAACCCTGGGATGGTCCAGTTTCAGATAAAATTGGTTTTCCTTCCACCACCCCAATACAAACAGCTCTGCATTGCAAGCAAATAAACTGGGCACTAGGGGAGTTGGAACGCATGGAGAGGGGACAGAAACATGCAGGTGGGTGGGAAACAAAGAGGAAAAAGCCCTTTCCAAGACTGCAAAGTAGCCAATGGCTTGCAAAGGAGGTGCCTGAAGTCTCATGTGTTCAGGACAGTTTAGTGTCTGACTGCCTGCAGCTCATGTTATCAGCCATGACCCCCTTAACAGGAAGCATTTAGGCTCTCAGTCACATTTACCTTAGAAAATTTGTAAAAACCCTGGCCAGTCCTCAGTCCTCACATGCCAGAACGTTGCTGAGTACTCACATAGTGCTGGCTGGGGAAAAACCTTTTCTCGTAGCCCAGCAGTTCGATGTGCCGGATGAAGGCGTCGCCCATCGCTGCTCCTGCCCGCAGGGCTCTGCTCCGGACCCTGCTCCTGCCCGGCTGGGCGCTCTCCCCTCCCCTCTGCCCTGGCTCAGCTCTGAGTCCCCTCCCGTCTGCCCTGGCTCAGCTCTGCTCTCTGTTAAAGCCCTGGGGAAGCGGAACTGCCGCTGCAATCGCACCCGCAATTGTTCAGCCGCTGTGGTTTGTACTGAGCCGGTGCTGCCCAGCCCAGCCCCTGCAGTGGCTCTGGGGAGGAGTGAGCTGGGAGGGCCTCGGGGATAACCTGGAGGCACCTCCGGCATCAGAGGGCAGTGAAGGGTGAGGGCCAGGCTGGCTGCCCTGCTATCCAAAGGACTCCTCTGGCTGCTGATGCTGCCCCATGCTGGCTCAGGGTACTGCAGCAGAGGGTCAGGGACAGGTGCCTCGGATATGACAGCCAGAGGCACCTTCACCCTCTCTGTCAGAGCTGGAATGGCTGAATGCAGCACGTAATGCACTCCCTGAGCCCCAGGAATGGCAGCACTGACTCGTGTGTGTGTGGGAATGGCACCTGGGGAATCTGGGGCACAGCACAGCCAGGATGGGGCAGCCACAGGCTCAGTGTGCAAGAGGCCCTCCCCTTGCATCACCATTTCCTTGCAGTCACTTGCAGCTTCTTCAAAATCTGCCACCAAAAGGTTCCCTTGAGGAGCCCCCGAGGACCTGAGTCAGTCCCAGCCCTGCTCACCACCTTACCTGGGCACAGGGCTGAATGGGAGGGGACCCTGGGCACAGGGAAACCCCAGAGTGGGCTGGAGACAGAGCCCTGTGTCCTGCTGGGAGAGCAGGAGAGTCCCCTGCTAAGCTGTTCTGAAATGCCAGTGCACCAGCTGCATTCATGCACTCCTGCTCCTCCATCCTCAGCCCTGAGCAGCAAGACCTGAAGGGATGTGAGAGCTGCAGAGATCAATTCCACACTGCTTGCAAGCAAAGGTGTACCCAGGAGTGTTTCTGTCCCCACCAAGGGCACCCTCAATGACAGTGGCACCAGAGCTGGGCAGTGCCTGACAGGGGCAGGCCCTGCTCTCCACAGGATCCTTGGAGGAGCCCAGCTCCAGCCAGCTGCAAACACTCAGCTCCATCCCCTCTGGAAACCTGTGCCCAGAGCAGCCAATGTCCCCAGGTGGCCATCTCACACCTGAGCTGGGTGTTAGAGCAAAGCCAGCCCACACTCAGGCAGGAGCAGAGACCCTCAGGCACAGGCAGCAGCCCCAAAGCACAGCAGAGCTGACAGGGGCTCTCCCCAAAGCACAGCAGAGCTGACAGGGGCTCTCCCCACTGACCAGCAGCACCAAGCCCTGGCACAGGACCAGCCCCATGCCCCTGTCAGCTTGTAAAGACAAAAGCTTGCTCTGGCTGCATTAGAAACATCAAATACTAACTGTAGCCCTCCCCTGGAACCTGGCTGTGGTACTTGCAGCTGTGCCATAGTAAATGGTCATTTACTTTTGGTTTCTTATTATTTTAACAGGGGGACTTCCCTGTATGCAAGGGAAGTCCCTTGCATATTACACAACCACAAATGTTAAAAAAGATCCATCCAGGGCTGTTTGGATTCTGCTCTGTTAGTCACCAGATAACTGCTGCTTATGCAGAACACCATAAACTTTGTCATAACAGCTAATTTCATAATTACAATTGTTTGTACTAAATTTAAAACTGCATTACAGACAGTACATTTCTGGAAACCACTCAATTCACTTGTTACTTCCCGTTTCCTCATCCTGTGATGTGAGAAATGAGAGGTTTTAGATGCCACTGTCCGTGAAGGATTAGTGCACAGTGAAACACCACCTGTAACTCTGTGTGAGACACTGCTGAGCCTTCCATCAAATGTCTCACATGTCTAATACATGTGAAGCAAGATTTTAGAAGAAAATTCTCAGAAGAGGAGCATCCCATCTGAACAAGACAAGTTCTTTTGGTTTTGCAGTCTGGTATTTGGTAGCAGGGGGGCTCTGGAGGTGGCTTCTGTGAGAAGCTGCTGAAAGCTGCCAGATGTCCAGCAGGGCCAGTCCCTGATTGATGGACATGCTGCTGGCCAGCGTCCACCACAGACTCCAGTCCTTTCAGCAACACCACTGCAACCACTTTCACTTCATTTTTTGTTTAGCTCCTGCATACAGAGTTTCAGTAGAGCCACTCTGCTGTTACACACTTGGCAAGGCAATACCCTGGAATTATTTATTTTCCCAGTTCCTTAGCTGTGGCACTGCCCTCATTTTGAGTGAGCAGTAAGAACTCCACCAGAGAGCTGGGCAGGCAGCTGTGCTGAAGGTGCCTCCTAAAGAGGGCTGTGAGTAAAGAAGGGATGAACCATCCTGCTTTTTCAGAAGGGGAAGTCATGCCAGCTGAAGCCTGGAGAAAGCTGCATTATGTCAGTTCCCCATTCTAAACATGTCCAGAAGCAAGTGTGAAACCTGGTCCTGAACTACTGCTGGAGGTTCACTGGCTCAGCATGTCTGTTCAAGTGTGTGACCGTGCTCACAGGGGTCTGAGGATGAGGGAAGAGATGAGGATCTGACTCCATGTTTCAGAAGGCTGATTTATTATTTTATGATATATATTACATTAAAACTATACTAAAAGAATAGAAGAAAGGATTTCCTCAGAAGGCTGGCTAAGAATAGAAAAAGAAAGAATGATAACAAAGGCTTGTGTCTGGGACAGAGAGTCCGAGCCAGCTGGGCTGTGATTGGCCATTAATTAGAAACAACCACATGAGCCCAATCCCAGATGCACCTGTTGCATTCCACAACAGCAGATAACCATTGGGTACATTTTGTCCCTGAGGCCTCTCAGCTTCTCAGGAGGAAAAATCCTAAGGAAAGGATTTTCCATAAAATGTGTCTGTGACAAAGTGAGCAGGAGGTAAATTGCTGGTGGTTATAACATGGGCAGTGCCCACGTGGCTGAGTTCACATGTAAGGTACAGCAGAGGGCTCATGCCATGGGGCTGGGAATGCTGTCTGCTGAGGCAGGAAGGCAGCATGGCAGCAGTCACCACCAGCTCCTATCTGGAGAGAAGGAAGGTAGGACCAGATGAGCTTTTTCAAAATGCCTCAGCATGGAGCTAACCCTGCCCCTGCTGACATCACCAGGTCCCAGGATTCAAGTGGGAACACCCAGATCTGCATGTTGTGAAACACATGCAGATGTCCTGCAGGGTCTCCCTTATCTCCAGAATGACAGAAATGTGCTGCTCTGAATTTCCCTTCTGAATTTCAGATTGCTCCCATGCAACAGACACTGCACTCAATTGAATTTAAGGCTTCAGAATTTTCCTTAAAGATCCAATCACATCACCCACCCAGAGCTGGATTGCAGTCTCAACAGCATGACTGGACCTTACTTCTCTGCTGGCAGAACACAACCATGCTGCAAACATGCTCTACCTGCCTACAGAATTACTGCTAGGACTTGATTTGCTGTAAAAGACAGAACTGCATGGGCAGTCTTGAAAAACATCAGAAAGGTCTTTATTTCTTCATCAGGGAACATCACTTACCATTTGTGCATAATGCAATCATCTCAAATCCGTGCCAGCAAAAGAGAAACCTTTGCAAATAATCTGCATTTTTAGATTATCATCTAACCAGAACTGTACATCTCCTATGGTTTGTTAAATTAGAAAAAAAGAGATGTTTTTATATGTTGTGGCACATAACCAGGACCACAGGGGACTTAATTTAATTGTTGTATTCACAGAATATTCTTGAGTTTTTGACATAATAGGGCTTAGAGCAGGTTGTAGCATGTTTCCATAACTAGTTCTAGATGAAGAGAAGAGCATCCCCCACAGCCTTCAGCAGAAAAACTCTCACAGAACTCCACACAAGTACTGCCCATGGCAGGGCTGTAGGACCAAACCCATCATATGTAAGCTGTGTGATACTCTGATGGAACATGGACTTACTACTTTGAATTAACAGAACAAACTGTGATGGGGTTTCATTTCAGTTGGTTCCTAATCCACACACTGGCATATTGACCATTTCACAGTCTACCTCATTAATGCACACTAACCATCAAGTAGATAATTTTATCTTTTATTTAGGAAAAACATATTAATTATGATAGATATAATAGGAAAAATTAATTCAAATATACAGATATTGTTGTCCAATGAGACATTAAAGTAATAGCAGAAAATTAATGTAGAGGGTTTTTTCCTCCAAAGTAAACAAATGGAACTCTTTGCAGGAATTTTTTCATTACAAAAGTTAGGATGCATTCAGGTACAGTGAAATTCAGCTTTATTGGAAAATGTATACAGCCTGAGCTATGTCCCTGTTGATTTTAATCCCTGCCATCTCCCCAGCATTGCTGCATCAAATTTAGTCCTTAAAATATATTCCAAAGTAAACTCATACAATCCAAATCTACAGTCATTATTAGGTCAATTCACAGAACTGCTGAAAAAGTAGACATTTCTATATAATAGTACAAAAGAGTTTGTATAGAAGATACTTCTCTTATACAGTTATATTACACAGCTCTAGACAGGCCGAGCAGGCTCTTCTCAGAACAGGCAGCTTCTGACTGGATAAGAGAAATTTAAAAATTCAGTTAATTTCATTGAAGTCTTGTGCCTTATTACAACTATGAGCAGTTTGTATTCTTTTTTCCAGTTCTTTAGGCCTAGATTTGTCACCCTGTTCTTACAAAGTTCTTCTAAGCCTTCTGATGTTTACATTTTTGCAATGGAGTTTCTCACGCACTTTTCATGTAAATAATGATTGTTTTCCATTCCTTTCTGGAGGAGAGAATTGATGGGCTGTTGGTTTGACCAGTGTGGTTGGAGAGGTGGCAATTTCATCCTCCAATCCATGGTCACTTTTGGAATTCTATAAATATCAAGTTCTGGTAATAAACGTGCCTTTTTTGCCTTGGACACCTCAGCGTGTGAGTGTCATTTATTTTGTGTCCTATTGTGACATAGATTCAGCAAACATGCAGAAACTGAATATTGCTCTCAATAAATATGAGATGAAATGTGTGCTCTAGCAGTCTCTTGTCAGAATTCAGAACAAATATTTATTTTAGGATCAATTCAGTGGATGGCCTAAAGCATCCAAAACTCTGAACTACTGCAGCATCAAATTGTGCAGCCATTGCTCAGACAACATTTTTGTCAATTAAAGGTCACAAGTGAGATGATTTATTATTTCTCACTGCCTGCAGTGTGTCCCATGACAAATCAAAGCTCTTCTTTTAGTACATTTTATCCTGCCACATTCAGTTTTATGACAAATACCTCCCACACAGAGGTGATTGAATAAGAGCACCACTGCTGTCCTGCAGTGCTCAGGGCACAGCTGGGATGCTGGTTTGGCAGTTCCTGCAGCTTTCCACCACATCATTCCATTCTCCTGGGCTGTGTTCATGCTGTACCAAGGCTGTCCCTTGGCTCCAAAAACTCAGCTGGTGCCAGGAATGAAACCCACAGGCTCCAGGCTCCCCCAGCCAATGCTTCATTTAACTTTACACCAATCAAACCAAATTGCTGAAGTATCAAATGCTGCATAATGAGGAAAAAACTGGGGCTCAGCATTACCAAAAACTGAAATGGGAAGAAGCACTACCATTTTCTTTGTATGAAGCACAGAGACTCCAGACCATGTGGGTCAGCATTTTAGATTTGGTGATGTGATAGCATAGCTAACATTGCTCTCCACCACCACAAAAATGTAATTTTTACGAACAAATGACGTTAAAAACAGAGTAAGAGAAAGATCTGGACATTTGGGCATTGTAAATTAAACTAGGCTTTTCATAAAAGTTTAATTTATGATAAGTAAAGAAAAAAAACTTTTAAAGGAGGTTGGTTTGTCATGACAGTTAATAGTTTTACTGAGTGTCCCAAGCTCAGACAATACTGAGACAATCATAGTCAAGAGCTTTCCTGCTCAATTACAATTTGGAAATGTATGTGCATTACCAAGAATAATAATGCTTTTTCACACAACCATGTCAGAGCTTTACATAAACACTGAATTCCCTCAGCTTTCACTTGTTCTGCTTCTGAGATATGTGATTACCATCACACATTTTAGGCCATGTTTTTCTAGGATTTCCTCACAAATTTGAACACAGTGTGCTTCATATTGTGTTTGGATAAGAAAGTGCAAAGCACCTGAATCTTCTATGTGAGAACTGAGTCACATAAAATAATTCAGAACTAAAGTACTGGCACTTTCTGACATTCAGTATTATACTTCATCTCTCCTTTCCCCAGCCAAAAATATAAAAATATTATTCCTTGATAGGTGTTGACTTCAAGAAACACTAAATTCTTTTACCCAGTATTGATGAGGTCTAGGTCAGGTCTGGATCTTGCTTTATTTGAAACTCTTCTTCTGTTTCTGTGTTATCTGTTAAAAAAGTAGTAGTGAATTTAAAAAGTAGAACTTCCCCACCAATTTTGTTACTGTTTTACTTAAGTAGAAATTTATAAAAACATGAAAAGCATTCATTATCTTTTTAAACCAATAATAATAAATAAAATTATATTCACAGCAATCTGATTCTGTGAAAATTACCATTTCCACTGTAATGTAATGATGATGCTTTTAGAAGGCTTCTACAAACTAAATGAGTCTGTGATTCTAGCTGAAAAGGATACAGTTCAAGTATATTCTTGGACAATAGGAAAGTTGGATGTTTTCCAGAGTTTAAGTGCTAGAAGAACAACAATTCCCCACTCCCTTGCCCCCAACACAGTGTATCCAAGCCAATGTGGCATTCAGAGTTCCTGATGGTGGCAAGCACTCACTTGCATCACTTGTGGAAGCTCCTGCCCTGAATAACAAGATGCATCATTCAGGATATGAAGTCACTCAGAGCCTCAGAGCAAGACTCACCAGCCACAAAGAATTCCTAGAACTCCTTTGTACAATTATTACAATAGTAATTTTTGCTGCTAAGTATTCTTCACATGATGCAGCATGGCATTACTAGAAATGAAGAAATGTGCCAGGAACCAGTAAAAGAGCTCTGCTTGATTTTGACTGACCTGACTTTAAAGACAGATGCAACTTTGTTCAGCATTACTTAAAAATATTTCTTGATAGTAACTGAAGAGAAACACTTACCTCCTAGAGATACTTCTATCTGGCTTGGTTCAGCTGGCTCTTAAATGAAAAAAAAATACAGTCAAATGAATATCAATATATTTTCAACAAGATGAATCAGATTAGGGAAATCAAGTTTTCAGTCAAAAAAGCAACTCATTTTTCTTAAAACAATCAGACTCATATCTCTGCCTGAGATAAATTTGTGTAGCTTTCTATAGTCTGCAACAAAATAGAAAATATCCCCAAACATTTACTACATTTAACTATGCAACACTTTCTCTTCTAGGAATGGCTCACTGTGGCTGACATATCACCAAGACCCAGAACAGCACAATGTGCATTTGCACAGAATACACCAAATTTGGAACAGCTTAAAGAGAGAGTCACCACTTCCCCTAAGCATTGTCTGTGATGGCAAGTGTGTGTACTTTGGGGCACAGTGGGAAGGTGCATAATAAAGGACCAGTATGCTTTAATTCCATGCTGAGTTTTCTACTATCTCTGCATGGATTGTAGATGAACATGTTCTGGGAAAACCATTTAACCTTTTTAACACTGCAGATGTTAAGGACCAAGAGACTGCAGCAAGCTCCCAAACCTCCAGCAGCTGATCTCCTCCCTCCCACACCTCCACATGGAAATAGAGGAACCAGCAGTTTCCTTTCTAATAATTTTCATCATACAAGTGTCCCTTACTCTTAAAATGTTTATCAGATGTTTTCTCTTGGTTTCCCAGCTCCTTTGTGTAATAATCCATTCAGTCAATTGCAAAAGTTTTCCCCACATTACACCAACTCAGCATACACATTTTTAAAAGGTATATGGACATTTAAAAGCTGTATTGGATCAAAGTGAAGTTGCCCAACCACATTTCCTTTAGTTAATTCACAGCCCAAAGCTAAGTTCTCTGTTCAGACTGAGCCAGGTGATGTGTGTGCAGTCCCAGATGCAGTCCAGCAGGAGCTGCAGAGCTTGGCACAAACTCCACCCAGACCCCTCTCCCAGCTGTGAAGGCAAACTTCAGTTGGCTGTACATGCAGACATGCCCACATCTGAGTTAAGCAGACATTAATAAATGGATGCTGAATTGTCTGTACACATTGCCCCCACTAATCCTTCTTTCCAGCTCACTCATCATCTGTAAAAATCCAATCAAGGAACACACCAATGGCACAGCTTGAAGAAAGGAGAGTCACTTTCCACTAATGTTTAACAGCCAATAAAGTTATTTAAAGTTTAAGTTACTAAAGTTAACAGCTATTCATTTCTCAGAATGAAATGGCTCATCATGAACCCCTGACACATAGGACATGAGTGTTAATGACATCTCCCAGGATGCAGAACCCCATTCCCCACCCTCCTGCAAGGACCCATGTCCCACTCTGCATCACCTGGTAGAACTGCTGTGGTAGGGGCTGCTGCTGGTGATTCTGCTTGTGCTTCAGCTTCTTCTAGCAGCTCTAAGATGAAACATGATCATTGTTTCACTTCACAATGGAAATGGTTCACATGCAACACAAGAAAAACCTTTGAATCTGCAAACCCTCAAACTTCTCACATGACCAGGTCACTAACACTGTGACTGAGATGCAGTTCAATTCTTTCTGCTACAGGAAAAACATTCCCTGTCTTGCCTGCAAGCACCAAAACTTTCCTCTTAAGTTTCCACATGTTCTTTAGGTGAAGAATAAATAATAAATTAGAAATAATACTTATAAGCAGTTAGCTAAGAGACTGTCACTTGTTCACCTTGGTATCCATCAGTATAAGATCATTTTGATCATAATTAGTGAGCCTGTCACTCATTCACCTTGGTATCCATCAGTATATATAATATTATATATATATAGTATACATAAATAATTATAATCATTTTGATCATAATTAGTGGACACAGGTAATGCCCAAAGCTCATGTGGTCCATGGCCAATCTGCTCCCCCAGTCCCAACACACATTGACAACTTATGCTGAACTGACAACAGCTCAATGGATTCTTTCATTTCTAACTAAATTCTCTGGAAATACCATTCCACAATTATTTTAACAACCAAAACACTATACCTTTCCTTCCCACTACCCCAAACAATTTCATTGTGAGGGCCAAATTGGCCATAGCACTTCAGTTAACTACAGTCTGCCTCTCTAAAAAGTTATCATTTCAGCAGAATGCAGAATTTTTCACTGGAACAAGGCTGTGCAGCTACTGGAAAGTTCTTAGTAACTGCTACTGGGATGGATTTAAATCTACAACACAGCAACTCTCATGTAAGTGTGCTGCTCAATCAGGATCCTAAATTTCTTTGGGACTCTGCAGCTGAAAAATACAAAAATCAGTCTTGCATTTTCATATCAAGCCAATGCTAATCTTGTGCTGTTTAAATGTAAATTTATCCCCCTGCCCTCAAGTTAACTGTACATCCATGTTTAGTCAGGAAATCTTCATGAGAAATACACAGGCAAAATTATACAGAGACCTTAATAATTTGGGGCCTCTGCCACTAAGACACAATGTAGAAAATGAATCTTGGTAGGTTAAAAAAATGCATTTGTCATCAGTGTCTCATAAATACTCACGATTGTTAATCACAAGTCCTGGAAATGGCCTGGAAAAAAATAGAAAAATTACTGATTCTGAAATGCACCTCATGGTGATTCCTCCCAATGTAACCTCCCCACACCCTCTATAACACAGGTCATGCTAAAACATGAAAAGAAAGGCAAGTAAAACAAAGGAATAGTAGCTCTTGGGCACTTTGGTTCTTCAAAACCAGCATTTTGAAAAGTAACAGGTATGGAAGAGCTAAACCCTTCCCTTGGTCACTGCTACTTGGCAAGGAATCACCTTCAGGGTTCAATTCAAAAACACATCAAAGTCCTTTTGGTCAGAATATGTCATGATGAAGGGGTGAGAACTCAGATTCCTTAGTAAAATCTAAGAAATTTCTCTCTCTAAAGAGAAATGTAAGCTTTTAAACTCCTGTGAAGTCATCTGTGATTTGAGAAGTTGCAAAAAGTGATCAATTTTATATTTTCAGCTCCTCCTTAGAATGATTCAAAGTTTGATCTGTTCTGCTTCAATGCATACAAATTAACATTGAATATGTGTGTGTGTGTCTATGGAGATATACAGATACAAATGAAATTCCCTTATACTATAATTGAACAATATTGTATTTTAAAATATACAAGTCCAATGAGCTTTGGACTTGTTTCAAAACTTGATATTATGACTGGGAGAGCAAGGCCCAGAAAACCACAGGACTTTTTAGCATATTATAATTAGATTTGAACTCAAAAGATAGCTTGCTGTAATATGCAGTATTGGTAAAATGCCTTTTGTCATACCAAATTGGACATGTCCTCCTTCATTCATGCTGGGAACATCTGGGCTTCATTTCACCTGATATATTGTTATCCAAAAAGTGCCAACAATTTCTATTCTCTCACATTTATTCCAGCTATGGGGTTGTACTCATAATCTAATTAAGGGCAACTACATACTTAATGACAGTGAACTTGATGAACTCTGCTGAATCCAAAATCTTCCTCATTGAGCTGAGTTCCAGATAACTGGGTGCTTTAAATGCCACACCTGGAGGCAGTCCATCCACCAACACACAGCCAGGGTTGTTAGTGATTTTTCTGTAGGGAACTTTCACAGGAAAATTCATACCAGTGGCTTCACCTAAGTGAGAGAGGTCATGTTTATTTTCAAACCCACAGTATTTATGATTACACTGAAGAAAAAGTCCTCAGATAATTAAGAAACAAAATTTAAACCAATGCTTTTTATCAGATCTGAAACTCTGAAAATTCACTTGACAATGAAACAATTACAGTGTTAGAAATGAGGTTCTGGATTCCACCATGAACATTACCATGAGAGCATTAGTGACAGCCCCAACTCTGACAGTTCAGCCTATGGAGAACACAGACTCTGCTCTTACAGAACAGGATATTAAAGGAGATAGCTGCATGAAGAGAAAAAAAAACCTTCCTGCAATGGTATGAAAAGCAATCCAATGCAGCACAAGTGAAGGAATTTCAGATTAGGAGACCCAACTCACTGCTACTGTACAATGCAAAGTAAAAAAACCAAACAAAACAACACACAGCAAAAGGTTAAACTCAATTTTTAAAATTACTCTAATCCCAAGTATTAAGAGGTCAGGATTATGAAGCCCTGAGAAGAACCATGGACTGCCAGCAAAATAAATACTTCATCCATGTTGACACAGAAAAAAGGAAAATGGAAGGAGAACCATGAAGCAATCCAGACCCTTAGGACTTTGCTTAAAACACCAAACTATCTACATCACTTACAAAATATTCTTTTTGGAGTCAAAGCACAACATTCATATACAATTCTCAAATTTTAATAACCATATATGTAATTCACTGTGAGTGAATATTCATTCACTAACTGCAGGATGAACAACACTGATTGCATTCACACCTATATAAAAATGGGCAGTAAGAAGCAATTACCAAATTTCTGGCTAAAAAGATCATTTACTTGCTCTCTCAATTGTCTGGCATTTTCTGCTTTTGGCAGTCGCTCATTTTCATCATCTGCAAGAAATTGTGAGAACAGGATGAGAATTAAGCAGAGATTTCCCCCCCTGAAGCTTGTTTATCCCTGCATGTTTACTCAAAGCAGGTACACTCAAGAGCTTCTAAACAGGGACTGTCTTTGCTCCTCATTTTAGTAGTAACCCCAAATTGTAAAAACACACACAAATAGATGGTTGCTAAGAAATTACAGAATACTAGAATGGTTTGGTTTGGAAGAGACCTTAAAGATCATCCAGTTCCAAACCCCTGCCATGGGCAGGGACACCTTCCACTAGACCAGGTTGCTCCAAGCCCCACTCAAGCTGACCCTGAACACTTCCAGGGATGAATCCAGAAATGTCTGGAGATGATTTTGTAAAGTAATTTAAACCAACAAATTGTATTTTATTTTCTTCTGGAACATAGAATGGTATGTAAAGGTAAAAGCAAAGTGATCATTCAGTAGATGGCCATAGCAGGCAACAAAAAAAGCAGTAATTGGTGTTAAGACAAAGCAGTTCAGCCTGCAAGGTCATTCAATTCAGTTCAGTACTGACATCTGGAAGTTGCCAAGAACTGCAAGTCAATATTTCATTTATTGCATCATAAAAATGTGGATACTTCTTAACAGGTGGTTGGACTAAGAATATTCTAGAGATGTCACTGATGAGATATTAATGAGTGTTAGATAATATTTAACATCTCAGCAAAACCAAAAGGTAACTTATGTTCTTTCTTGACTGTACTTGTATTTCTGAGTGACTGTAGGAAAATATCAAACTAAGCAGATATCATGAAGAATGTAAGCACAAGCATTATGATGTGAAACCAGCCAGTATACACACCTTTTATGGTTACTTTAACAATGTTTAGGTCTTCAGCACTTTCAGCTGTTTTCACTGTGTTTTTTGTGGTCCTTGCTGTATTGGCATTACTGGAGGAATTATTTTTTCCTAAGAGGATTAATTTAGAAAACATTTATAGAGAGCTCAAAATCTTCAGTCTCATCTATAAAGAAAATATTGCAAAACAACAAATATTGGCTAAGTTTTCAAAGAGGACCTAGTTTCAGTTTCAAAATGGGAGCATTTATTCCATGACCTACCTGCCTGACACAATTTCCTACTGGCTATTTGTACTCCTGTCTCTGGTGCCTGTGTCATTTAGATGATCTACATACCAGGAGCAAATAATTTATCTCTAGACCTGAATAACTCCTTGAATCCTACATTACTGGCTACATGTTGATGGAATGTAGTAAAGAATACATTAAAGGCACAATTATTTGTGAATAACTTCAAAAAATTAATACTGCCTTGTTAGAGCTATATTTAAACTGTAACTGGTGCTTTTCCCATCTTAAAAACAAACAAACAAGCAAACAAACCAAGCAACTGCAATGTAGAATAAATCTTTCAGGAATTTATTAACACTGTGCTGCTCTCATAATTAATATTTAACCCTTGAAATAAACTTTTATCTGGAAAGTTAAGCAGTTGCAAAACTCACCTTGGGAGCTTCTACCAGAATTTCCTTTGATAGCTGCCTCAAACACCTCAGGCCTGCAAACAGATTGAACCTTTTACATACAATAATAGAATTATATAACATCAACATTAAAGAAAATCCCATTTTCTAAAATGGTAACTAAGTGATATCCTCTCAGCCAAACAGACAGTCAAGAATGCAGTGACTGAGAGGCTCCATAACTTCCCAGAATCACGGAATCTAAGACTGGTTTGGGTTGGAAAGAACCTAAAACCTTGCACCTGCCAGGAGCAGGGACACCTTCTAAAGACCAGGTTGCTCAAAACCCCATCCAACCTGGCCTTGAACACTTCCAGGGCTGGGGCAGCCACAGCTTCTCTGGGCAACACCCTCCCAGTGTAAATTCCTTCCAAACATTTAATTTTACCCTGCTCTCTGTCAGTTTAAAGCCATTCTCCCTTGTTCTATCACTATCTGTCCCTGTAATTTCTCTTGCCACTGTTTCTGCACTGGCACAGGAATATCTAAACCTGTTCTAGGAAAAAGAATGAAAATTCTTACAGCTCTCATTAAAATAATCTCCACTCCTCAGCTCCCAATACACAACCAGCAAAGTTTATGAGTAGCCCATAAGTGCTCCTTGCAGTAGGAACTAAACCAGTGATGTGATAATTGTGATAGAATAAGAAATATGCACTTGCTCTTCCTCTCACAACAAAGTCTAAGAGGCTGTCAGAACAAAGAGATTATTCTAGCTTGTTCCACTTGCACAAGAGCTTTCTGATCATTTCCTCAAGAAAAATATTCCAGTGTGTATTTTATAGAGTAATTTAGCAACTTGGCAACACAACTTCATTTTTCGGTCTACATTTCAATTCTCATAGAACAGATTTTTAAAGACATATGGGAGCCTTACTTTTTAATAATAAATTTTATTTTAGATCTATTCCTCAGGAGCTTCTCTAGTCTGGGAATCCCAAAGGTGGTAGGCTGGCGGAAGGGCACCCCCTCAGGCAATCCTTCCACGTGGAAATCCTCAGGGTAGGCATCAAACAGTGCATATGGCACCTTCACTGGCCCACTGCGACCCAGAGCTTCTCCTGAAATGCACCAGAGCAAATAAGGCACAGTGAGGCAACTGATGTGAACAGAAATAGAATATATAGAAATACCTCTGCTATAAATGGAATAGAGTAGTTGGCACATCCATACTCAATTAGGTAAAACCAGCAGGCTTTGCCTTTTTTGGTGACAGCTATGAGTTATGCAGGGAGAAAATGAACAGTTTCAAACTTAACTCATTCTGCTGCAGTAAATCTCACCATAATTTGCTGAAAATTTGTGATTTGCATCCAGCTCATGCCACTGTCTTGGTCTGCATGCATGACTGTCCTATCTGTATGGCACTTTTGTCTTGGGCTGCAAATGCAAGATGTGGTTGGGGGTGTGTGTTCTGTCCCCATCTGTCAGAGCTGGGGCAGTTCTCTGCTGTTCTTGGGGCAGTTTTCTTGATCTCTCCCCCAGCCAATCCTCCCTGCAGGAGATCTCTGCTGTCCATGGCCACTGAGTGTCCCTGCAGGGCTGATCCAATTCCAGCATCCCATGGGGAGATGCTGCATTGCCCAGGGCAGGAGCCAAGCATTCCTACCTGGATCCAATGTGAGCCTGGCACAGCCCAGCAGCCTTTGCCCAGGGCATTGCCAGAGGAGCAGCTTCTGCTGCCCTGCATGGCCAGAGGGAGCCCAGGCCCATCTGCAGCAGCCCTGGAGCTGCAGAGGAAAACTCCCCCCTTGTGCAGGATCCCTGCTCCAGCAGAGCCACAGCTGGCACTGCAGGAGGGCTGAGCCCCCATGGGATGGGGCTGTGCCACCCCCTGACACACAGGGGACAGGGACTGCTCTCACTCTGCCAGTGCTGTTTTGTATTACAGCATTTTTATTTTGAGATTTCCTAATAAAGAACTGTTATTCCTAATCCCATATCTTTGCCTGAGAGCCCCATAATTCAAAATTATAATAATTGAGAGGGAGGGGTTTTACATTTTCCATTTCAAGGGAGGCTCCTGCCTTCCTTAGCAGACACCTGGCTTTTCAAATCAAGACACATCTTGTTGAAGGCAATGCATTCTGCCTCTCTCTCTTCTAGAGAACAGCACCAAGCACAGGTGAGATTTGTGCTCTTGTTCAAGAATCCACACTCAGAAGGGTAAGGAGAAGCCTTACTCTCACTTCCCAAAGTCACTAGTTTCCAAACAGCCTGCACTAGAAGAAGTGTTGGAATATAATGGAGCAATTTCTCCAGATACCACCCACAGCCTGTTTTGAGTCATGCAGAGTCATACCAAGTCCATTTACAAGCAGAGAGATGACAGCTCAAAAGGATGTGCCAGTGTGTGAAATCACTCTGTGGCTCATTTAAAAAATTGTAATCCAACTACAACTTCTCCATTTTCAAACCCAAGTAAAATAATAAGTGGAAATGTGACACTGGATTGCAAGCACATGAGAATGAACCCAGATGGGAAACTCTAAGGTACACAAGGATTGCAGGACCTCTGGAATAAACATATGAGCACCTCTCATACATTCATCTAACTGCATGTTCATAAGAAAGGCATCTCAGTAATAAAGAATCAATAAACATACCACATTTTTCATTAAACATATTTTCTACTTTGTCCTTCAAGTCATTGATTTTGGCATTCCACAGCTCTGCCAGGAAGAAATTGGAAGAATTAGAACAACACTCACACAAAGAATCAGTCTTTGAATAACATTTTAACAAATCTTAAAGAAATTATTATGTTTGATAACCAATTTACTATGGCAGCAAAAATGTGCAAAATGGCTTTCATTCTGCAAAACTATATCCACATCCATCCTTATTTCCCTGAAGCTTTGAAAGATACTGTAACTAAATAAAGCAAAGGTGATTAAAAGTGAAATTAATCCAAGAGTGATCCAAATTAACTATCAGATAGCAGGAAATTTACTCATCTGAACCTGCACTCAAAACAGTGGCACAAAGTTCCTCTTATGTCCAGTGATACAGCCCTGAAACACTTGCCTCTCTCCTGAGAACTTTAATCTCTAGCACAGTTTCTACTTCAGTGGTGAGATTAAATATCCATTTAATTCAAGCATTTTGTTTCTGACAGCCATCAAAGCAATTTCTACACCAGTTTACTTGTGGCTGCACTAAGTGGGCCATGGCTGGTCTACAAAACTAAAACCTCAGTCTAAAGCTTAAAAAAGTTGCAGATTTAAAAAAAAAAAAAAAAAAACAAAAAAAAAACAACTAGGTCTAACAAGCAATCAAGTCCAAGAAAACTGTACACAACTCTGAATATGAATACAACCCGTGCTAAATCAGTATCTCATTGATTCTCAATTGGCTTGGTAGGAGTGAATAATTCCTTTCTTATAGGTTTTTTGACCATACAGCTATAAAGAAAGTATAGGGGACAGAAAAAGATAAAGCAAATAACAGCAAATTCCTACACAAATGTAAGCAAATAAACTCAGAATCTAAGTATGCTAAAAAAAAGATTTACTGAGACTTAGAACTCCTTACAGTTACTTTGAATGCAGTCACTGACCTCACTTCACAACAAAGAATTTTTTGGATTACAAATTGATCCTGCTTTCAATACTGAGATTTCTGTTCAGAGCACTGCACTAACAGGCCTGGGTCTCCATGGCCAGAAATTCATGGCCTACATTGATGAACACAACTGCCTGGCTTTCAGTCCTGCCCAGCTTTTCCTCTACTGATCTTCCAGAACTGGAGAGGTCAATCATAGCAATCATGCACAATCAGCTCTGACAGGTCATAGCTCACTAATGTCAGTTCAAATCCTTCCTGGTCCCTACATCCCACCTGGTATCTCTGCACAGGGATGTTAATATCTCAAATTTGTAGAGGGCTTAAGAAATTCATGCTCATTTCAGCTGGGTTTATGCACTTGGTTGTACTTTGCACCAGAAAAGTCCTTCAAGGGTCTGCAGCATTGTGCAGTAACAGAGCAGCAAAAATCAAAAACTGCCTCTGCACCTGAATCAATAATATCTAATGGATCTGGGCTGCATTTGTGCAGCATGCTCCACATATCATCCAGGATTTCTCTACTGCAGATTACTACACATAATGAAGAACTGAATGTACACAAAAGGGAGGACTTCAGTCACTCACTAACTGTACATCAGAACATGAACTCAAAATATCTGATATGTAATCCAGGTGTTCCACATCAACATTAAAGGAATGCATCTGTGCTAATTTCCCCAACACTTACCAAAAGAAAAGTCTTTTCCTTGTTGCTTTGAATTTGCATTGGAGCCATTGGGATCAGAATTAGTTTCTGCATTTGTGGTTTGGTCTTTTTTAGGACCTATGAAGAGACATTACATATATAAGGTAGAGAGCAGAAACAAGACATCATACAAAAAGAACAATGCATCAAACTGGATTAGTAGAGAAATCTTCAATTCTGAATCAAGAATAGAATTTAAAAAAAGCCTTCAGGAAGTTCTAGAGTTGTATTTAAGCATTTAATGCTACTGACCACATCTGTGATCTCTCTGCTCAGGACTACATCAGTTCCCACATCTCTGCTTGGAATAATGGGCCATGCAAGCTGTCAAACTGCAACATTTTACCTAAGCATCATCTACACAGTATCCAGTTTGTTTCAGAAAGGAAAAAAGTTATAAAGTTATATAAAGTTATAAAGTTAATTTATACTGAAGTGTATCTGGAGCCCTCAAGAGTTTGCTACATGAGGTGTATGTTCCTTATGGGCTATGAAAGCTTTGAAGAACAGAAAATATAGAAGAATATAATAAAAGAACTTCAGAAGAGTATTTATTTCTTCCATACTCTCTTCAATAGTAACTTCAATCTCTGGAACACTTGAATTTTCTGAAGAACTTCGTGACCTTTTGGAAGTCCTTGGGCCAGTTCCTGGAAGCCAAAAGAACACAAAGTGTGAAGCACAAATTTTGCACACCTAATAAAAGAACAGCTGTATTCTAAGAATTCTAACAGACTGAACTAAGTAGAGTCTGCACAGTAAAACCTGAACAACACAGTGATGCTCACAATCTTAAAAAGTAGGTTTACTGCTCTTGAAAAAGACACATCTAGATTTTCCATTAATTCAGAACAAAAGACTTTGTTTTTTCTAAGTGTGAAGGAGAGTTTTGGTACTTTTTATTATCTAAAATCCCAAAAAATTAGTAACATCTGAATTTTCTACAGACAAAAGATTCTTTTATGCTTTTCTTATAAACACCATTATTATTTACAGCAGTTCACAGCTCTCAGTTTAAAATGGTTGAAGCCATTAAAAGTGAAATAGAAGTTGTCAAAATTGAGTAAATTCCATTCTTTGTACTAGAATAGTTAAGTAGAAAAGCAGATACATTTATGATTTGAATGTCTTTCTCAAATAATAGCAGATTTAGAGGCCACTATGCTAGATCATCTTAAATAATGCCTTTTATTTACAACATCTGCATTTTTCAACCACAAAGATCTCTCAGTCTGCTAGGGAAGCAGAAAGGAAGTATTTACAAATGGATGGCAGCAAATAATATTTAATTCTTTACCTTTTTTCTTTAATTTACTAGCCAGTCTTAGAGGCAAATGGGAAATGATAAGATCAGGCCTGGAAGTTGAACAGAACAAATCCAATCAATTGCAAGTCAAGTCATCAGCAAAAAGTTACCAATTTCTTGGAATTCAGTTGAGTTCCAATTCACATAACATCAGTTCTCTACAAGGAAATTCTGTTAGAAGCATGGTTGACTCTCCATCTACTATAACCACAAAAAAATAGAAAACATAAAGCTGTATTTTCTATTCTGCAATTTTCTTCTGGGTTTACTTCAAGCAAAGAAAAATAGAGAAAAAGGAAAAAAAAAAAAAGAAGGAACAAAGCTTCCAGGTACAAGACCATTTTCCCTCTCAATTCTTGATGCATGAAACACACAATTTATACATCTACAGAAATTGAATGAGGAATGTATGTCCTTGTATGAGATAAATCATACGTGCAAAATATTCTTTGTGTTTCATGGAAGCAGAGCTTAGGTAGCATTTAAAGCCTAAAGTTGCTGGGAATGAAGTCAAGTAACTTCAAAATCAGAGAATATAATATAAAAATAACTGGATCACAAACTTACTTCTTAATAATAAATTTGATTTTGTTACTGGCACGGATGATCCTCTCGAGGCGCGGGATTCCAAACCACGTGGGGCTCCGGAAGGGGACTCCTTCTGGCAAACCTTCCACCACCAAGGAGTCAGGGTTTGACTCAAACACAGAATAGGGAACTTTCACTGACTCTGAAACCCCCAGAGCTTCGGCTGAAAATAAAGATTCAATCATATATTACAAACTTCAATGGGTGGAATTTTATCTCAATTCCAAGATTGAGATAAAATTTTAAGATTTTAAGAATCTTGTCTTACAGAAGCTCTGCTACTCAAAGCTAACAAGCCTCCTGGAAAAAAAAATTAGAAATATTTAAATATATTTGAAGAGATTACCTATTATTTTTTGTGGAGTAACTGGAAATGGGAACTTGACCCACCCTGTTACAGATAATATCTAATGTAGGCCTACAGTGTCTAATGTTTTATTTTGAGAAGTTCTTTTAATCCAAAAGCTTTTGTGCAATCATCTCATCACACAGCTGGAAAAATAATAGCTTAGGATGCTGTTATAAAAACATTTATGTCAGTTACAGGAAAGAGTAAGTAAAACAGAGGTAAGAGGAGTCAAGATTTCCATATCTGCCCTAGTATACTTCTGATGCCTAAGTAAATACTGTAATAGTTAAGCAGAGGAGTTTTAAAATGCAGCAGCATTGCAGAACAGTTCATTTAGCATTTAACTTACCAAACTTCACACTAAATATATCTTCTACTTGCTTTCTTAGCTTTGTGATCTTGGAATTCCAATCTTCTCTCCCTGAAAACCAGAAACAGGTGTCAGAGAATCACCCAGCTCTGGATACAGAGGTACATTTGAACATACTTCTTTCAACATAGGAACATGAAAACTAACAACACAATTACATCTGATTACACAGGGACACACAATGAGTAATGATTATTTATAGCAGCTTAAATGATACACCTAATTTCCTCTACATAATGAAAAATCTATTTAAATGTAGTTCTGAATTTCAAGCACTGACCCTAGCAGAACAACTTGTTCTTTAGAGCCTTCAGACGCAGGAAGAAATTATTTTAGTGGTTCTCCCTGTTAAAGGCACGTCATGCTTTCAAGAAACCCCTACAATTCCTTACCAACAGAGGCCTGAAAGAGCTCAGGGTCCCCTGTGAAACCCCAAGGCACTCCAGACCTTTGATTCAGGCCAGGACAGTAACTCCAGTTCTCTGGGACTCTGAAGGTGACCCAGGCTGGTTATTCAAAGGCAGCTGGGACTGCATCAGGATTTCACAATCCATCCACATCCACAGTGCTCAGTTCATTCCTTCCAACCCTCATAAAGAATATGCCAGCACACTCATCACACATGGGTTCCTTCTTGAAAAATGCTGCATTGATCTAGATCTGTTTCCCCATCAAACCCTTCTACTCCCACTTGGAGACAGCCCCTGTCTTACCTTGAGGGTTTGACCTGTGCTGGGTACCTTCGTTTGAAACGTGATTTAGCAGCTCTGGCCTGCAACCAGGACACAAAAAATCTGCTTATTCTTGTCATAAAATAAATACCACTACCTATTATGACATTAATTGAAGAATTTGAATTTTTCTATTATGTTTTTCACACTTGTCAACATGTTAACAGATATGCAAAACATATTCTGTAATATATGTCTGGATTGCAAATGCTCACTTCAATTTGCCTATTTGGTAATTAGAGATTAAATGCTTCATGACTTAATGAAACCAAGTGCTTGATTACACATAGAGTGTTTGTTTGGACTCTTTCTTAAAAATCCCTCCATGTTTAGACTTACCTTTTGATCACAAATTTTATTTTGTGGCCCACTTGAATTATTTGTTCAAGGCAAGGGATTCCATACCAGGAGGGACTCCTAAAGGGGATGTTCTCTGGCAGCCCTTCAACGTAGAGGTCAGTTGGATAAACTTCAAATTTCTTGTATGGAACAGCTCTGGGGTCTTTGCTCCCCAAAGCCTTGGCTGTAGGAACAAAAGGCATCCAGTCACTGGACAGATTGGCCAAGCAGCCTTTATTAAAAGCTACCTGATACCAATTCCTCAGGCTGTTGCAACCGTGCTCTTAAAATGTGGAACAATGCAGGACATCTAAATCCAACAAAACACAAGTCTCTGCATGTAAAAAATGTAAAAAATTTGCCATATTTTATGATGTTGCTGTTGGGCAGTCACAATACCAATATGCTTACTGGGGCATAATACATTTGTTTTATCCAAAGTTGTTAATCTGTAATAGAGTATCATGAAAAAATTTATTCCAGGTCTTATGAAGTTGACTTTTTTTTCATATTGGACAGAACATAAAAATTCACCCAACAATGTTTTAACACTAATTATGATGATATTGCAGTGGATATAAGTAAACAGCTGTTTCACCATCGAAGGAAAAAATCCAAACAGGAAGGAATCAAGAGCAATCAGAAGAGCAGCATGTGTAGATTTAAAAAAGATTTAAAATTCTTTTTAAACTATGAATTTACATTGTATGAGCAGTAAACTAAAACATTCTTTTTCACTGAACTTCCAGAATTTTAAATACTTGAAAAAAAAAATCTGAACAAGGGTCTCATTCATGCAGACATTCAAAGGAAGGAATGAAAGCAATACAAGAAATACAAAGCCATGCAGAAAAGAAGATAATAATACTGTACTTACCATACATTTTACAGAAAAGTTGATCTACCATCTTTCTCAGTTTGGTGACTCTGGAATGCCAGTCCTCTTTCGCTGTGTTTGAGACTGGCACAGAACAAAACCAACATTCCTTAATTATATTGGTTATATTTTCAGTTGTTCCGTTTATACAATGCATAATCATCCTGCATTTTCAGGTAACACATAAATGCTGTATGTAAGAAGTATGGATTCAATGTGGAACTGGAAAAAATGACCATAAAATAATGACAGAATATTAAAACTGACAAAACTCCACTGAACCAGTGACATTACTCTTGCTACAAAATACACACAATGTTTTGACCTGAAGAGCTGCAATACTTTGATCATCCACCTCCAAACTGCAGATTCTACTTGGAGATGGAAATAGTTTTTCAATGGTTTCATTTCCTGAAGAATTTGTTGATATTCAGTGCTGAATTAGGCATGCATATGGGATGAAAATTTGCTTTTAAGGGATCAAAGCACATATAATTCCAATCACTTTGCTCCTGAACATGTCTTTGTGACTAACAAGTGAAGCTTCCCAGTCTCAAAGAAGACATTGGCCTGCTTACACACCATGGGTTCAGTCAGAATGCAAAAGCAATGACTTGTGTTCCATACTTGCACCAGACTGGGCTATCAGCTGACACTTCCTGAGATCCAACTGGTCTGTCTTGCAGCCACTATCAATCTTCTGAAAGTTTCAGAACTGAGGCCATTGCACAAAACCTTCCTGACCAGCCTGCTTCCCAAAGGAATGCAAATGAAAATCATCTTTTCCTCTGCCAGTCAAACTACAGATCTATACTCGTGTACAATACTATACAATACTATACTCATCCCATCCCTTTCCTGCTGGGGACAGAAGCTATCAGGGCTATGGACAGAGCAGGAATTGGACATGGAGCCACAAGGAGCTGAGAGAGCAGGGGCTGGTGCTCCACAGCTCTGTCTCCTGAGATGCCAGTGGACACAGGGAGCAGCAGAGGAGATAATAATTCCTGGGAAAGAGAGAATGCAAACAGGAAGAAAACTGCAGGAAAGGAGGCTCAGACAGCTCCTGTCTCCTGTGTTCTCTGAGATGCTGTTGACAGCTCCCAGGGGTGCTCTCTTCTCTTACTAGAGAGGATGCAGAGGTCACACATGTCTCTATAAAGTGGTAACTGGTGATGACAAGCCAGTCCAGAACCCTGTGCCATAGAAATTGGTTACCACCAGTTTTCTTAGCTACAGGGGGTTGATGAGTTGAGCAATGTACTTGCTTTGCCTCCATGTTTTAGTATTAAAAATTACTAAACAACACAAAAAAGGCGAATTTAAAGAGCCACATAACAGCCCAGTTAAGGCTAAGGCTCAGTTACTAGCCTACCTACTATTTTTGTAGTCAAATTTTGTGCTTGAAAGTACAGTAGGTTATTAACACTCAATACACTAAGTTAACTTCAGGAAGGAAAAGTTTAATTCCTGCACACACATTAAATAGACATCCTTATGGTATACCTGCTTAATTTAGATCCTTAATGTCCACTTTAGTACAGTCTTTGAAATACTTTTTATAACAGAAGACTATGAGTATATAGGACAAATAGGAATATCACATGTGCTTGTACAACTCACAGATTTGAAAACCTACCTGTTGAAGCTGTATTGACCACTGGAGGATCTGTTGAATTCAGAAGTTCAGGCCTGAAAGATTTAAGGTGCATGTTTCAACAGTGACAGACACTTTCAGAAACTAGCCTCCAGCTACAGCCTCAATTTACTACTTACTGAAGGATCAAACCCAAAATCCTCCCAGGGGACATCATGATCCCCAGCACTAAATTCCAACTAATGCTGAAGTATCCTAAGAGCTGGCTGGAACCCTATTGACAAAGCATTTTTCATGCCCAATACCCATATGTGATGACTATGGGCACCTGCCCATTTCATGGTGACATACAGGTTGCATTAAACTTACCTCTGAGCTGTGAGATACACTTCATCAGAAACAAAGATAGAAATTTAAAATTTAATCTCTAAAAGAGTAAACTTCAAAGCAGTGACTTCTGTTTCCAAAATATATCTAATTTTATCCACAGTTGAACAAACTAAAAAATTAAACATTTTGATGTTTCTCACGGAGCCAAACTAGATTTTTAGCTGCTCTTGTTACACATTTCAAGATCAATGAACACCAAAAATTGATTTTTGTTAACAACTAAGACATATTTGACAAAAGTGTGTGCCAGCATTGCATAAATAATTAGATCTATGTATGATATCTGATTTTAAATGAGACACAAGGTAGATCTACACTTCTTCCTTTTCAAGTTACCTGCAAGCATTAGGATCATAGAAACTGAGCCTGTTCCTCTCCAATGTAAGCAAATAGCACCTGTGGCAAAGGCAGCATGCACAGTCAGAGGCTGCCACAACTCCCAATTCTGAGCCTGAGCATTGCAATCAGCAGATTCCTGTTCATTTCAAAAACTCTTGCATTAGGCCCTACACCACTGAACACAGGAAAACATCAGCTGTTACTCACTGCAGCTTCCTTTAAACTTCAGTCAATGTCCATCTGAGCTGTCCTTCATGTTCACTACCTGATCTACCTCCAGACACACCAAGGACACCTAAACCACAGGAACCAGTAGCCATGTGTTGGCCTCAAGCTTGCCCTGGGAAACAGCCCTAGATACCTTGATACAATATTCCAGCAAATTTTTTTTAAAAAGCATAAGCTGAAATTAGGCCAGGATCTTCAAACAGGATTGATCTTCAAATAGGATCAAATATTCCAAAGTCAATGGCTTTCAACATGTATTGCAGCTGCAGAAATCTGAACAGTACAGAGATCTGTCCCTGACAAAAGTCCATAATATTGAAGAGATCTCTCCACCACCACTCTCAGTGATCCACTGGCCTGTGTGAGAGTGTGTCTGAAATATCCCTCATCTGCCTCATGATCATCATTGGGGACCACTGAAAATCTCTGGCTTTGTAGGAGGAAGTTACACACGCCAAAGGCCCAGAGACCTGAGCACAGTGCTGAACTATTGCTCAGAGGTGTTGTTTGCTCTGTGCTACACTGAGCCCAATGAGAAGAAGAAGGGGGCACCGTGCCCTTTTTGCAACAATAGCCTTGGAAGCTGCCCCACCTCTCAGCCTGGCTGGACTTCTCCTGAGTTCCGGTGGTGCCCTGCAGAAGACCCCTCTCACCTGTTTTACAACCACTGTCACAGACACACTGAGATGTAAGGAGCCTCTCCATCAAGGACTGAGACATGGAACCCCCATGTGAAAAGGCCCCTCTGCTCCTTCCAAGGACTGGGACTGAAACCCCCAACCTGGGGGAGGTTTGTGGGGAGGCAAGCTGACCAAAGCCAGATGTTTGCCTGCAGGTTGTGACCGCTGGACCAAGAACACAATGGCTCTGGTTTACTGCTGAGAACATGGACTATCCGTTACAATAAGGAATAGATGTATCTGTTTCCCCCCCTCACAATTTCCAACAGAGTTATCATAATAAAAACCTCTGAGTTAGCCAGAGATTTTGAGATCTCCCCGACATAACAGGCAGATCCTCGGCTGGACTGGACCAAAGGACTTCATCTCTACATTTGGTAGCCATATCCCCCTCTTTCTCTCTCTGTTTTCTCTCTTTCTCCATCTTTTTCTCTCCCTTAATCCCTCTATCACATTTTGCTGTGGTCATTCAATAAAGGTGCATTTGTTTTGTTTATTACTGCAAAACCCCTGTGCCATGTCGGTTCTTTTTGCACCCTGAGATCAAATCCATGAACCATCATGAAACCCATCCGTGAGGAGGGATTGTGACAGCCTGATAAGCTGAATATATTGAAACGAACATCAACTAAAAACCACTCCTTAGTACCATAAATTAATATACCAGTAGAAACCAGTTTGGAATTCCATGAAGAAAAACGAAGCAAAGTGGCAGAGGCAGAAAACATTGAGTAATGTAGAGCCAAAAATGAACAGCTCCTCACTTTTTGATGATGAAGCGGATGCGGTCCTTGACCAGCAGGATCCTCTCCAGCCGGGGGATGCCGTACGTGGCCGGGCGCCTGAAGGGAATCCCATCTGGCAGCCCTTCCACAATCAAATCCTCTGGATGGGACTGGAAGGTTGCATATGGGACACGTACTGGGCCCTCTACTTTCATAGCTTCAGCTTTAATGAAAAAGGAAAAATAAAAATATTAGACTAGAATCCCATCTGGCAGCCCTTCCACAATCAAATCCTCTGGATGGGACTGGAAAGTTGCGTATGGGACACGTACTGGGCCCTCTACTTTCATAGCTTCAGCTTTAATGAAAAAGGAGAATAAAAATATTAGACTAGAATCCCATCTGGCAGCCCTTCCACAATCAAATCCTCTGGATGGGACTGGAAAGTTGCGTATGGGACACGGACTGGGCCCTCTACTTTTATAGCTTCAGCTTTAATGAAAAAGGAGAATAAAAATATTAGACTAGCTTGTGGCTCTACTCAATCACCTGTTTGATATCACTCTGATGGACATGATAATTAGCATGCAGGCAATAAGCCCTCAGCACATTTAAACATTCAAGCATTCATGTTGTGAGGGACTTTGTTTAATAGCAAAATCACTTTGATTCAGAGTAAACAAGCTGCAGCCCTGCATATATATGCAGATCATCCTCTTTTCCCTTTATGTAAACATTTTATAACAGTGACCACACCTGTTAAGAGTGAATTAAGAAAATTCTCACTGTTTTAGTTTGCTTCATAGAGCATTTTGAAAGATGAAGTTATTGCCATTATTTTGGTTTTGCTTCATAGAGCATTTTGAAAAATGAAGTTATCTAAACTTAATGATAAACCAAGCATGTTTCAGTTCATGTTCAGTTTCTAGCTCTGTTATCATTTGTTACTGCTATTGGCTTACAAGTCATTAATGCCTTGGAGTAGGGGCACACATCTCATCTTTTCAATAAATTCCTGAAGTTTCTGTGTATTTTAGAAATCCAAAGAACCACTAACAAAATAAAAAATACACTTCTAACACTGCTGAAAAAAGCACAGCCCTCCTAATGAAATCTTTGGAACAAATAAAAAGCAAGTAACTAGCAACTTGAGAAGGCAAGGGGGGATTTCCCATTATTGCCATCATTTAGCAATTTTGTATTTAGTGATTATTTACCCTTATTTTTTGCCCGTTGCTGTTTTGCTTGTAATTAGACTGTTACTTTTTCACTACACCTACTAGTAAGTGTAGTATTGCTAGAAAGTGATTAGTTAATACCATCATGGGAAGCAACTCATTCCATAGTGTCTACCTCTTAAATTGTCTTAAACCAACTTAATTTTCTTCAACCAACTTTGCTGCGTGCAAACGTCAAAGTCAAAATTAAAGCAATTCACTAAGAATGATGCTCCTTTCTACAGCAATTAAAATACAGTGAATCAGATTCTGAACTGCATTGCCTTGGTGCAGGTTGCTTTCAGTGGGTGTTTAATTGTCAGATGATGGTCACATCCCAAACATGTAGTAAATCCAAATCACAAGGGCTATTCTGAAAGCACTTCCACTTTTCGTGGCAGAGGCACACCAGCATTTATTTTTAAATTGTTACTGATGCTGTTGTAGTTTGTGATATGTGGACACAAAACATATCTAAGTGCAGCATTTGGAGACAAATTCCAAAGTCTAACACATCTGCTGTGTTAGACTTCTTTCCAAGAGCCATTAGGATATATAATTTTTGCTTCACTGTAAAACAATCATAATCAAAAGTGACACACCTAAAGACTCAGTGTAATTGCAGAGAAAAGCACAGCTCTCTCAAATGTGGGTGCCCAAGATATTTCAGCATGCAGGTGCTCCAGGAGACTGAGCACAACTGAAAAATAAAATCAAGCTTCCCACTTTGGTGCCAAACACAGATATCCCATTTTGAAATTACTCTGTTCACCAAAAAAAGCTACTTTTCTCAATTTTATGTCGACAGTATTTAGCCCTTTGGTGCTGCCCAGTGCTGGTGTGCTCCTAAGCAAGAACAAGATGCATGCCAAAGAGCAGTGTGTCACTTGCTGTGACAAAGGACTACAGCCAGTGGCTTGGAAAGGTGTGGAGCACATACCATATTTTTTCTCAAACAGCACTTCAACTTCCTTTCTCAAGTCTGTGATTCGTGTATTCCATTTGTCTGCAAAGAAAAGAGGAGGACATGTCAGACTACAAACAAAACTGAGAATCTTGAAAAATCTGTGTTCCCACTAAATGAAATATGGAGTGTGTACTTCTACTTGCAAACAGGTGCCTCCTGAGTACAGTACAGACTATCCTTAAAATGCATGGATACATTAAAATAAGAGAAAAGTACAGAATAAAATGTTAAAGATTACTTCCACAAGATGTGTATTAAATGAAGTTAAAAAAAACCACAACAAAAACCAGGTTAAAGTAACTTCCAATAATGATTTCTCTCTTTGGTGGCTCAGTCATCAGCTGTTGCTACCTCCAGGGGTAAAGGCATTTTATAGGTGCTGTTGATAGTTACCTAGATTTGAGTGCTCAAAAGCTTGATAAAGCTTACAGAAAGTACATGGAGTGGTTATGGTGGAAATCTCTACAACTACATGGATCAGGAGGCATCTGCCCTTCTCTACTTTAATCCATTATGTCTCCAAGTCCTGGTGTTGCAAAATACCCCCAGAAATCCCATTTCTGAAAAAAAATACAGCTAAAAAAAAAAAAAAAAAAAAAAAGAAGTTTATCCACATCCAAACCTGTGTGTCCTATCACGTTGCCACATAAAACAAACAGAAAACAACAGAGGCAGCCAGTGATGGTGATTATGCTGCTGCAGTACATCTAAACAGAGACCAGGGCTATAAATGAAGGCTTGAACTAACATGTCTCACTCCTGCACTACAAAATCACCCAAAACCTTTTCATAAAACACAGCAGAGAAACAAAATCATCTTGAATTTTCATCTTACCAAAATTGAACCTTATTCCTCTGCTTCTCCCACTGCTGCCTGAGTCGCTGGCTGACTTGGGGCTCCTCTGTCTCCTCTCACTGGGTACGTAGTCATCATCATTATCTTCAACAGACAAAAACAAAATCACTACTTTTTGTCCAGGGAACTTGTGTGCAGCACTGGAGCTGCTTTGAATTTCAGAACTCTAACAGAATTAAGAAATTGTGCTTATCAAGGCAGCAAATTTTCAACAAATTACTTAACTGAGTAACTTCAGAAAGCTCCTGGTCCTACCTGTGAAGGAACAATTTGTTCCTTCAAAAGGGCCTGTGCAAAGCACAAGAGAGAAAAAAACCAAAACTGCTTCTGTACTTGCTAAGCAAAACAACATTGTCTTCTGAAACATGACTGGGCATCACATGATCATAACATGACCATACAACAGCAAAAAGAATCACAGAATAAATTGTGTGACAGGGACTACCTGTGTTAACTAACTGGAAATAATACCATTCCACTAGTAGATCTCAAAAGAAAGCAACTTTTGTTTTTTATCATTATAGTTATTGACTCTTCTCATAGAAACTTTTCTGTCAAGGTAATGGTGGAGTTATTTCCATGCTGCATTGTAAAACACAGAAAGTAATGCCAGAAGTGTCCACTTTCTCACAAATGCCCTGCCTACTTTCTAAGTTGCTGATTGGCTGCTCCTAATCTAATTCCCCAAGCAAGCACTGCAAAAGCCAATCTCAGCAGTGTTTTAAAGCAGTGCCAGGACACTCATGCACAAGTACAAGAAACACAGATCACCTCCTACCAACATCCTAGCAGGGGAACTGCAGGGACACTGCTTGGCAGCTTTAGAGCCACTTGGATGACAAAGGGAGCTGCTCCCTGCAAAGGTTTGGATCTCACAGTTACCAATATCAGACAGACACCTTGAGGCTCTGCTTACACCACCTGCAACACTGCCTTTCTGCTCTGCTACCATTCTTCCCTGAAGCTGGTTTTAACTACAGATGTTACATCTAACCACAGTGTGGTTATAAAGCAATGTGTTCTCCAGAATGATGGAATGTTATAACATCTTCTCTGTTCAATAAATATTTTTCATTACCAACACATGAAAATTACTCCAAAGATACAAATTGCTGGCAGGCATCATTTCAAAATGAGCTCACCAAGTCCAATCTGCTTCAGTATATTGTGGTTTTTGAAAACTTCTCCACCAGGTTTGTTTACCAAGCAGTGCACAATCCAAACTACACTCAACACCAGCACACAATTCCCTTCATTCAGTGCCAAGTAATGCAGGCTTTGGAAAACACATTTCGGATAGAAAAATGCCCAAGCAAATTAAATCAGTGACCTGGGGAACTGACCTTCACTAGTGAGGTCAGCCTCAGAAACGTCACTTCCTCCTGATGAATCATGCTGGGAGGAATCTGAAAGGGAAAAGCAGGACAGATGAATGATTGACATGGCCAAGATTTTTAACCAAACACTCCATGCCTTTGCATCTAAACCAACATTGTCAAAGAAGCCCCTTGAACTCACAGCAAGTAACAAAAAAAGAAGCAAAGATATATTTACCATGAGCCTTGAGGAATTCCAGACAAAGGCAAGGACTCAAAAGTATGTAACTGATAACCAGCTGACTGCTTAAAAAAGCTGGGTTTTTACAGTGAAGTGGCTCACCTTTGCTCCTGCCTGGGGAACCAGCATCACCACAGACCCTCATCTCACACTATTCAGCAAAACCATGTGCAACTTTCCATACTTCTCTTACAGAAACTTGTAAAAACCAACAGATCTCAGAAAAAGGGGTGTTACAAAATCTTAGTCTGACTCAAAGGGCCACACTCAGCATCTCTAGCTATAAAATTCTAGTCAAAACCAAGGCACAGTCAGAGTCCAGGTCGTTTCCTATCACACTTCCCCTTCCTCACACTCCCTCCTCACAGTCAGGTATAAAGCACATGGCATTATGCTGAGGAAAACAAATCACCCAGATTTCTCTTCTCCAATGAGTTCAGTTAATACTGCAGCCAGCACAGGCAATGAACTTCATTTTCCTTTATCAGAAGAAATGCTGCTGAATTTCATGTAATGGTAACCCCTAACTATGGTGATACCTACCTTCCAAACAAAACTAATGCCATTTCAAGAAGGAGCACTGCTGCTAGCAAAACCTGCCTTGAGAAGCACACAGCTCATGCTGGAGAGCCACGTGCTCAGAGCAAAGCCAGCAGGACAATGATGTACTCTTCACACCCTGCCAAACCATTAAACCTTGGGTGATGAGACCTTACAAATGCCTTTCATGACTTAAAATATTTATGACTACCATCACAATTTGCTTATAGCAAGCCCCAGAATGGTGTGATTTGGGAGATTAAAAGCAAAACAAAAATCAGAAAACCCGATCTGATGGATATATAAAAGAGAATGATTGGAGAAGATGTACAATTTCAATTAGGTGACATCATTGCAAATATTTCTATGAAAAAATATCCAATGAGGGTAATTTATAAGCACAAAAACCACATCTGAAATGCCATAAGTTTATTTCCACATCTTTTCCTTCACTGATATCAGAACTCTGGTGGCTGCCTTCAAAATTATAAGGAAAAAACATACTCCAGACTGTACAGAATCTTATAAAAGCAGACAGATTAATGTGCCCCTAAACTAAAAGAAAGCAAACCAAAGGATAAAGGAGAGGTACACAAAAAATCTGAGGTGAAGCATCTTTAAACAGACTAAACTGACTCACATGGATGCATTTCTGTGCAGAACCCAACAGAAGGGACCAGGAAAGAATACAACCAAAAGATCCCAATCTTCTGTGCATCTAATTTCATCATCAAGTCAAATAACAAAAATACCAACAGAGGCAGCCTATGATGGTGATTATACTGCTGCAATTCATCTACACAGAGCCCAGGGCTCTTAAATGAAGGCTTGCACTAATGTGTCTGAACATAACTACAGAAAACCTTTTCATCAAACAAAGCAGGGTGATGAAATACTCTTGAATTTTCATGTTACCAGAATTGAACTCTTCATTTCTTCTCTGAGTATTGGACTCTTCATTGACCGACCTGGTGCTCCTCCGTCTCCTCTCACGGTACACGTAGGTATGGTCAGAATCTAAGAGAAATCAAACAGAAACCACTGGGGTTTTGTGCAGGGAGCTTGTGTGCAGCACTAGAACTGCTTTGAATTTCACAACTTTAACAGTAGTAAGGAATTCTGTTTATGAGAGCACCAAATTTTACAACACATTACTTACAGGAGCAACTTCAGAAAGCTCCTGTTCTTACCTGGAAAGGAACAAATTGTTCCTTCAAAAAGGCCTGTGCAAAGCACAAGAGAGCAAAAAACAAAGCTGCCCACGTACTTCCCAAGGAAAACAACCTTGTCTTCTGAAACATGACAAATGTTTCATAAAACTACAGTGTGGTTATAAATCAATGTGCTCTCCAGAATGAAGGAATGTTATAACATCTTCTCAGTTCAATGGGTATTTTTCATTAACAACACTAGAAAATTATGCAAAAGATACAAATTGCTGTCAGGAATCATTTCAAAACCAGTCCAGCACTCCAATATACTTCAGTATATTGTGGTTTTGTAATTCTTCTCCACCAGTTTGATTTACCAAGCAGTGCACAACTGAAATTACATTCAACACCACCACACAATTCTAATTCTCTTCCTTCAGTGCCAAGTACTGCAAAACACATTCTGGATAGAAAAATGCCCAACCAGCTGAAATTCAGGACCCATGGTACTGACCTTCAAGGGTGACCTCAACCTCGGGATTCTCACTTGTTTCTGACATGTCATGGTGGGAGATCTCTGAAAGAAAAAACAGGACTGTTGAATGATGGGCATGGACAGGATTTTCAACCAAACACTCCATGCCTCTGCATCTAAACCAACAGTGTCAAAGAAGCCCCTTGCACTCACAGCATGCAACAAAAATAGAAGCAAAGATATTTTACCATGAGCCTTTGAGCAATTCCAGACAAAGGCAAGGAGGGGAATATTACACTTGCTAAACTGCACATGCTACACTGCAGGGTTGCTGCTATGCCTGAAGGAAATTCCATCATCCTGGCTTTTTTTGGGTTAATACAATCATAAATATTTTCATCTAGAATTTTTATCTTACCAGAACTGAACTCTTCAGATTTTCTCTCAGCATCGGAAGATTCATTTGCCAAATTATTGCTCTTAAGTCTCTTGTCAGGTGGCAGATTGTCTTCATCATCATCTTTAAGAAACAATAAAAAACCCCCTGTTTTTTTGTCCACGGAATTCGCATGCAGAACGGGAACTGCCTTGAATTTCGAAACTAAAACAGAAATAAGGAATTGTGTTTATCAGGGCACCAAATTTTACAAGACATTATGTACATGAGCAACTTCAGGAAGCTCCTGTTCCTATCTGTGAAGGAACAACTTGTTCCTCCAAAAGCACATGTGTGTGCAAAGAACAAGGGAGCAAAAAACAAAGCTGCCCATGTACTTCCCAAGGAAAACAACCTTGTCTTCTAAATATGACTGGGCATTGCATGATCATAAAACAGCCATGCAACAGCAAAAGGAATCACAGAATCAATTGTGCAGATCAGGACTGCCTTTGTTATCTAATTGGAAATAATATCATTCCACCAGATAATCTCAAAAGAAAGCACCTATGTTTTTTCTTGAAGAGCTCAAATGTTCTAAAACCAGATTTTAAACCAGTTTAAAAATAATGGGTGCCAGTCAAACTCATCAAACAGGTCAACTCTGCCATAAACCCACACAAGTGGACAGACAGGAGAACAGCAGACCTAGCAACGTGTCAGAGAGCTGCTACTCAGCCTGGCACTTTCCAATCCATCCCTATCTTCCCTAAGCTAATGAGCTTTTTAAGCTGCCCAATTACCAATACCTCCAACCTCAGAGAGAACAAATGGGTAGAGCAGACAAAGAAAACTAATTACACATGCAGAAAAATATGCACCCACCTCACCAAGGGTATGGTTTACTTAGCAAGTATAATATCACATAATGATATATCTTGAACCTATACAGTTCTGTTATACTCTGTCACAAAAAACCTTTTCAGAGCACTTTTACTCTTGTGCTAAAGGCCTTTACATATAAGCAGAACTGAATGACTCTTCCCATAGAAACTTTTCTGTCAAGGTAATGGTGGAGTTATTTCCATGCTGCATTGTAAAACACAGAAAGTAATGCCAGAAGTGTCCACTTTCTCACAAATGCCCTGCCTACTTTCTAAGTTGCTGATTGGCTGCTCCTAATCTAATTCCCCAAGCAAGCACTGCAAAAGCCAATCTCAGCAGTGTTTTAAAGCAGTGCCAGGACACTCATGCACAAGTACAAGAAACACAGATCACCTCCTACCAACATCCTAGCAGGGGAACTGCAGGGACACTGCTTGGCAGCTTTAGAGCCACTTGGATGACAAAGGGAGCTGCTCCCTGCAAAGGTTTGGATCTCACAGTTACCAATATCAGACAGACACCTTGAGGCTCTGCTTACACCACCTACAACACTGCCTTTCTGCTCTGGTACCATTCTTCCCTGAAGCTGGCTTTAACTACAGATGTTACATGTAACTACAATGTGGTTATAAATCAATGTGTTCCCTAGAATGATGGAATGTTATAACATCTTCTCCGTTTAATGAATATTTTTCATTACCAGCACCTGATGAAGTCACAATATTTACAAATTGCTATCAGGAATCATTTCAAAACCAGCCCACCAAGTCCAATCTGCTTCAGTATATTGTGATTTTCTAAAACTTGCCCATCACATTCATTTATCAAGTAATGCACAATGGAAATCACACTCAACAAAAGAACACAATTCTCTTCATTCAGTGACAAGTAATGCAGCTTTGGAAAATAGAATTTAGATAGAAATATGCCCAAAAAACTGAAATCAATGACCTGGGGAACTGACCTTCAACAGTGACCTCAACCTCAGGATTCTCAGTTGTTTCTGACGAGTCAGGCTGGGAGGACTCTGAAAGGGAAAAACAGGACTGGTGAATGGTGGACATGGACAAGATTTTCAACCAAACACTCCATGCCTTTACATCTAAACCAACAGTGTCAAAGAAACCTCTTGCACTCACAGCATGCAACAAAAATAGAACCAAAGATATTTTACCATGAGTTAGTCTATGATCATGATTATACTGCTGCAATTTACCTACACAGAGACCAGGCCTCTTAAATGAAGGCTTGCAGTAAAATGTCTCACTCCTGCAGCACAAAATTACCCAAAACCTTTTCATAAAACACAGCAGGAAACAAAATCATCTTGATGTTTTATCTTACCACAATTGAAGTCTTCTTCTTTTCTTCTCTCAACACTGGCATCTTCACTAGATGAATTGCTGCACCTCTGTCTCTTGTCAGGTGGTGGGTAGTCATCCTCATCATCTTTAAGAAACAATGAAATAAAACCCTGGTTTTTTGTCCAAGATACTCGAGTGCAGCACTGGAACTGCCATGAATTTCTAAACTAAACCAGAATTAAGGAACTGTGCTTACCAGGGCACCAAATTTTGCAACAAATTACTTAAATGTGTAAATTCAGGAATCTCCCATCCCTACCTGTGAAGGAACAACTTGTTCCTTCAAAAAGGCCTGTGCAAAGCACAAGAGAGCAAAAAAAAGCTACCTCTAAGGAAAGCTACCTTCCTAAGGAGGCAGCTACTTTCCTAAGGAAAACAACATTGTCTTCTGAAACATGACTGAGCGTGGCATGATCATAAAACAGCCATGCAAGAGCAAAAGGAATCACAGAATATATTGTGCAGATAGGGACTACCTGTGTTATATAACTGGAAGTAATATCATACCAGTAGTAGATCCCAAAAGACAGTGCCTATGTTTTGTCTGGAAGAGCTCAAATGTTCTAAACCCACTTTCAAACCAGTGTAAAACCAATGGGCACCAATGAAATTCATCAACCAGGTCAAATCTGCATTAAACTCACACAAGTGGACAGACTGGAGAACTGCAGGGACACTGCTTGGCAGCTTTAGAGCCACTTGGATGACAAAGGGAGCTGCTCCCTGCAAAGGTTTGGATCTCACAGTTACCAATATCAGACAGACACCTTGAGGCTCCACTTACACCACCTGCAACACTGCCTTTCTGCTCTGGTACCATTCTTCCCTGAAGCATTTCTTAACTACAAATGTTACATATAACCACAGTGTGTTTATAAATAAATGTTTTCTCCAGAATGATGGAATGTTATAACATCTTCTCAGTTTAATGAATATTTGTCATTACCAACATCAGAAAATTATGCAAAAGATACAAATTGCTGTCAGGAATCATTTCAAAATCAGCCCACCAAGTCCAATATGCTTCAGTATATTGTGGTTTTCTAAAACTTCACCAATATTGTTTACCAAGCAGTGTACAATTGAAATTACACTCAACACCAGCACAAAATTCTCTCATTCATTGGCAAGTAATGCAGGTTTTAGAAAAGAAGAATTTAGACAGAAATATGCCCAACCAACTGAAATAAATGAGCTGGGGAACTGACCATCAAAAGTGACTTCAACCTCAGGATCCTCACTTTTTTCTGACATGTCATGTTGGGAAGAATCTGAAAGAGAAAGACAGGACTGCTGAATGATGGACATGGACAGGATTTTCAACCAAACACTCCATGCCTCTGCATCTAAACCAACAGTGTCAAAGAAGCCCCTTGCACTCTCAGCATGCAACAAAAATAGAAGCAAAGATATTTTACCATGAGCCTTTGAGCAATTCCAGACAAAGGCAAGGAGGGGAATATTACACTTGCTAAACTGCACATGCTACACTGCAGAGCTGCTGCTAGGACTGAAGGGAATTCCATCATCCTGGCTTTCTAGGGTTAATACAGTCATAAGAAGATTGCCCTTTCTTACTGAGGATTACTGAAAATACAAACAAAGGCTGCCTGTCCCCACAGATCAGGGATTTTTTTACCAGCTCTACAGATTCATGGTTGCTGTGCTATCAAGAGTTCCATAAGAGGCTGCAAGGCCAACAATCAAACATGGGAGGGAAATTCATGATCACAATGCTTTAGTTGGGGCAGAGTGCCCTAACAACACAAGCAGGATTAGCCAATCAACACTCCCTGTGAGAAAGAGCAATTTATACTTAACTGCACTACAGTTAAACAAAGGCAAGCTAATTGTATCAGAAACTCATTTTCCTTTATCAGAAGAAATGCTGCTGAATTTCATGTAGTGGTAACCCCTAACTATGGTGATACCTACCTTCCAAACAAAACTAATGCCATTTCAAGAAGGAGCACTGCTGCTAGCAAAACCTGCCTTGAGAAGCACACAGCTCATGCTGGAGAGCCACGTGCTCAGAGCAAAGCCAGCAGGACAATGATGTACTCTTCACACCCTGCCAAACCACCAAACCTTGGGTGATGAGACCTTACAAATGCCTTTCATGACCTAAAATAATGATGACTACCATCAGAGTTTGCTTATAGCAAGCCCCAGAGTGATGTGATTTTGGCGATTTAAATTAAAACAAAAATCAGAAAACCCAATTTGTTGGAAATATGAAAAGAGTTGTTGGATAAGATTTACAATTTCAGTTATGCTTCATCTATTTCTATGAAAAAATATTTCTGTGAAAAAAATATCCTAGGATGTTAACTTATCCTCACAAATACACTTCACATCTCAAATGCTCTGTCTATGGTGGCTGCCTTCAAAAATATAAAGTAGAAAACATATTCCTGACTGCACAGAACCTTATAAAAGCAGACAGATTCATGTGTTCATAAGCCAAAGCAAACCACAGAATAAAGGAAGATCACAAAACATCCCAGGTGAAGCATCTTTAACCAGACTAAACTGAAGTGCATGGATGTGGTTCTGTGGAGAACCCAACATGAGGGATCAGGAAAGAACACAACCAGAAAATCCCAACTTCCTGTGCATCAAATTACATCATCATGACAAATTACAAAAACCAACAGAGGTAACCTATGATGATGATTATATGCTGCAATTCACCTACACAGAGCCCAGGGCTCTAAAATGAAGGCTTGCACTAATGTGTTGCACTCCTGCAGGACAAAATTACCCAAAACTTTTTTGTAAAACAAAGCAGGGAGAAAAAATCATCTTACTGCAGTTGAAATATTGTGCTTTTCTTCTCCTTCTATTGGCAGTTTCCTTAGCCGACCTGGTGTTCCTCCTCCTCTTTCTCCTGCTAGGGGGCAGGTACTCATCATCATCATCATCTAAAAAAGACAATTTTAAAAAACTGTGGGTTTTTTGTTCATGGAAATCAGGCGTAGCTCTGGAACTGCCTTGAATTTCAAAACTTAAACAGAAATAAGGAACTGTGGGCACCAAGTTTTGCAGTAAATTTCTTACCTGAGTAACTTCAGAGAGCTCCTGTGCTTACCTGTTTTCTAATACTTCACATCCAGGTTCGATTACGAAGCAGTGCACAATCCAAACTACCCTCAACACCAGCACACAATTCTCTTCATTCACTGCCAAGTAATGCAGGCTTTGGAAAACACACTTTGGATAGGAAAATGCCCAAAAAATTGCAATCAATGACCTGCAGAACTGACCTTGACTAGTGATTTCAGCCTCAGAATCCTCACTTGCTTCTGAGGAGTCATTCTGGGAGGAATCTGAAGGGGAAAAACAGGACAGTTGAATGATGGACAAGGACAGGATTTTCAACCAAACACTCCATGCCTCTGCATCTAAACCAACAGTGTCAAAGAAGCCCCTGCACTCACAGCATGCTACAAAAATAGAAGCAAAGATATTTCACCATGAGCCTCTGAGCAATTCCAGACAAAGGCAAGGAGGTGAGGATTACACTTTTGCTAAACTGCACATGCTACACTGCAGAGCTGCTGCTATGACTGAAGGGAATTCCATCATCCTGGCTTTCTAGGGTTAATACAATCCTAAAACACCTTCTGTTACCCAGGATTACTGACAATATAAACAAAGGCTGCCTGTCCCCACAGATTAGGGATTTTTTTACCAGCTCTACAGACTCATTGTTTCTGCATTATGATGATTTCCAGAACAGGCTGCAAGGCCAACAATCAAACATGGGAGGGAAATGCATGATCACAATGCTTTAGTTGGGGCAGAGTGCCCCAACAACACAAGCAGGATTAGCCAATCAACACTCCCTGTGAGAAAGAGCAATTTGTACTTAACTGCACTACAGTTAAACAAAGGCAAGCTAATTGTATCAGAAACTCTATCAAAATTAAGCAGCAGTGCATGAAGGAACATATTTTAGTTATTCTAGCAGAGTAAAGCTGCACTGGTGCATTTTGAGGAGTATCTCCTTTCAGATCTCTGTAAGCTGGGGTATGGTATCACTTTGGGAGCAGGTCTGAAGGAATCTTTGCTTCAAAGGTTTCTCTTCACACGATGGGTGGGGTGTAGAGCAGAAATTCAGCTCTATCTACTGGGACACCTCAACTGCAGTATACTTGAACCATGTCAAATATATCATCCAGTTCATGGAAATCAGTATCATGTTTTGGTCTAATTCCAAGGGATTGCTGGGTACATAACTAGCAAATGCAAAGTATTACAAAAAGGAAGAATTAGGAGTTGTTTTACTAGACACAAACATAAAATAGGGTTATAAAAAAGCCTGTCACATCAACTGATCCCCTAGAACCCATTTGAGAGAGTTAAATAGGATTAAAATAATTAAAAGTATGTAGCATTTTTGGAATTTTTGAGACTGGAAGATGATTCACCTAGCCTAGCACCAAATCCCTGACAAACACTCAGAGTTAAGGGAATTGTGCAAAAACCTCAAATCAAATTGCAGCAAAGTTCTGGAAGGAAACTCCCAGATGAGACATTTTTCTTAAGACACATTGAACCAATGGTGTTAAACACCTAATTAAGTTTTTTAAACAACATATCATCATCACTAGGTCTCCTCTGATCTTGGGTAAACACACACAGCTTCTACACAAGAGGTCTTCACAGTTGAAAATGTTCTCATTCACCAGCACTGGCTCCAGTTTCTCAAATGTGATTTTTTTCCCTTTCAAACAAGTTCTTCTGACACACATAACCTCAACTTTCTGACTGCTGAATTCCAATCACACCATGCTGCCCATTCATCCATTAGCTGGGTGTGGGCAGCCTGCCTGGTTGGGAGCAGAGATGGTCATGAGCTCTTCCTTCACCTTAAACCTCTCCTATACAGCGTTTTTAACCACTGCCATGGAGCTCTGCCTGCTGCCATCCTGGTAGCCAGCTGCTTGCAGGAGAGATAATCCTGGCTGCTGCACTAAGATTCACCAGCTCCATGAAGGACCAGCATGGTACCTATTAATCTATAAAACTGCTCCTAACATATATACAGGATATTTGCCTTTAATTGTGAGAGTCAATTGCATTACTCATCTATCATACACAGACTAGTAAAAAACTGTTATTCATTTTCCCATTCCTTTACAGGGAAGCCATGTATTTCAAAGTCATTAAAATTTTGGAGGAAGGGAGTCATCTTTCCATTCCAGAGAGGGCCCCACATTCCTTGGAACACTACTGTGTTTTAAAGCAATGAAAGAAATGAAAAGTAAAACAAAACAAAAATCATAAAAGCCAACTAGGTGAAAATATGAAAAGAGAATGCTTGGAGAAGATGTACAGTTTCAATTAGGCGCTATCTTTCCAAATATATCCGTGAAAAAATCTCCAGTGATGTTAATGTATCCTCATAAAAAACACTTCACATCTCAAATGTATTTGAGATGTATTTCCACATAGGCTCCTGTACTGCCATCAGAACTCTGGGAGCTGCCTTCAAAAATATAAAGTAAAAAACATACTCCAGACTGCAGAGAATCTAATAAAAGCAGACAGATTAATGTGCCCATAAGGCAAACCAAACCAAACCACAGAACAAAGGAGAGGTACAGGATCACAAAAAAATCCCAGGTAAAGCATCTTTAACCAGACTAAACTGAAGGGCATCTATGCATTTCTGTGGAGAACCCAGCAGAAGGGATCAGGAAAGAACACAACCAGACAATCCCAACTTTCTATCTGTCTATTTACATCATCATGTCAAATAATGAAAACCAACAGAGGTAGCCTAGGATGATGACATCTGACTGCTGCGAGACATCTACATAGATCCCATGCCTCTTAAATGAAATTCCAAAAGTGCTCTTCTATTTTAATTTTTTAGCTTCTGTAATTCTCTCAAAAAGGTTCTAAATAATCAGTTAATGTGACAGTAATTTTTGCAAGATATAGATTTTTTTTTTTCAGCAAAAAATCACCCAAACCCTTTCCATAAAACAAAGCAGGGAAATAAAACAATCTTTCATTTTCATCTTACCAGAATTGGAGTCTTCTCTATTTCTTCTCCCAGCACTGGCCCCTTCATTACCCGACTTGGTGCTCTTCTGTCTCTTGTCAGGTGGTAGGTAGTCATCATCATCTTCTTTAAGAAACAAAAAAAGGAAAAAATGGTTTTTTACTTTTGTGCTAAAGGCCTTTACATATAAGCAGAACTGAATGACTCCTCTCATAGAAACTTTTCTGTCAAGGTAATGGTGGAGTTATTTCCATGCTGCATTGTAAAACACAGAAAGTAATGCCAGAAGTGTCCACTTTCTCACAAATGCCCTGCCTACTTTCTAAGTTGCTGATTGGCTGCTCCTAATCTAATTCCCCAAGCAAGCACTGCAAAAGCCAATCTCAGCAGTGTTTTAAAGCAGTGCCAGGACACTCATGCACAAGTACAAGAAACACAGATCACCTCTACCAACATCCTAGCAGGGGAACTGCAGGGACACTGCTTGGCAGCTTTAGAGCCACTTGGATGACAAAGGGAGCTGCTCCCTGCAAAGGTTTGGATCTCACAGTTACCAATATCAGACAGACACCTTGAGGCTCCACTTACACCACCTGCAACACTGCCTTTCTGCTCTGGTACCATTCTTCCCTGAAGCATTTGTTAACTCCAAATGTTACATCTAACCACAGTGTGGTTATAAAGCAATGTGTTCTCCAGAATGAATGTTTTAACATCTTGTCTGCTCAATGAATATTTTTCATTACCAACACCTAAAAATTACTCCAAAGATACAAATTGCTGTCAGGCATCATTTCATAACCAGCTCACCAAGTCCAATCTGCTTCAGTATATTGTGGTTTTTGAAAACTTCTCTACCAGGTTTGTTTACCAAGCAGTGCACAATCCAAACTACACTCAACACCAGCACACAATTCTCTTCATTCAGTGCCAAGTAATGCTTTGGAAAGCATTCTGGAAAACACATTCTGGATAGAAAAATACCCAACCAACTGAAATTCAGGACCCGTGGTACTGACCTTCAATGGTGACCTCAACCTCAGGTTTCTCACTTATTTCTGACATGTCATGGTGGGAGGTCTCTGAAAGGGAAAACCAGGACAGTTGAATGATGGACATGGACAAGATTTTCAACCAAACACTCCATGCCTTTGCATCTAAACCATCTTGGTAAAACCTTATGAAACAATGGCCTTGTTACCCTTGTAAAATCATGGCTGAGGCCTGTTACTTCAGCTAAGCAGAAAAAGACTATGGGAACATGACACAGCTGCACTGGAGGCAGAAAAACAAATTATATAACCATGGTGTGCTCACATCGTGGTTTAGCGTGGTTGGTTGGATTGTATGGGATCTACTAAAATGGAATGTAACAGATTATGGCCTACCTGCTTAAAAAGGGCCTGCTTTTTGCAATAAACACCTCTCCTTTGCACCTGCCTGGGGACTCTGCATCACTTGGCTTCATAACATTTATCCTCACAAAAAACATTCACATCTCACAGGCTATAACTGAATTTCCACATCTGTTCTTTCACTGCCATCAGAACTCTGGTGCCTGTCTTCAAATTTATAAAGACATTCCTGACTGTACAGAAACTAATAAAAGCAGACAGATTAATGTGCCCATAAGCCAACTCAAACCAAACCACAGAATAAAGGAGAGGTATAGGATCACAAAACATCTGAGGTGAAGCATCTTTAACCAGACTAAACTGAAGTGCATGGATGTGGTTCTGTGGAGAAGCCAACATGAGGGATCAGGAAAGAACACAACCAGAAAATCCCAACTCTCTGTGTGTCTATTTATGTCATCACATCAAATAACAAAAAACAACCAAGGTAGCCAACAGTGATGATTATACAGTCACAATACATCTGCACAGAGCCCATGGCTACTAAATGAAATTCCAAAAATGTTTATTATTTAGCTTAATTCTGACAAAAAGGTTCTAATTGATCAGTTGATATGACAGTTATATTTGCCACAATACTGAACTTTTTGGCACCACAAAACCACCCAAAACTTTTTCAGAAAACACAGCAGGGAGACAAAATAATTTTTAATTTTCATCTTACCAAAACTGAATTCTTCAGCATTTCTTCTCCCAGTATTGGCAGCTTCAGGAGCTGAACTGGGGCTCCTCAAGCTCTCTTCAGGGGGCATGTACTCGTCATCATCATCATTATCATCACCAACATCAACATCATCTTTAAGAAAGAAAAAAAACAAAACAAAACAAAACAAAACTAGTTTTATGTCCAGAAAACTCGAGTGCAGCACTGGAACTGCCATTAATTTAAAACTCTAACAGAATGAAGGAACTGTACTTATCAGGGAACCAAATCTGGCAATAAATTACTTAACTGAGTAACTTCAGAAAGCTCCTGTTCCTACTGTGAAGGAACAACTTGTTCCTTCAAAAGCACATCTGTGTGCAAAACACAAGAGAGCAAAAAACAAAGCTGCTTCTGTACTTCTAAGGAAAACAACATTGCCTTCTGAAACATGACTGGGCATTGCATGATTGTAAAAAACCCCATTGAAAGAGCAAAAGGAATCACAGAATAAATTGTGCAGATAGGGACGTCTTTTGTTATCTAACTGGAAGTAATATCATACCATATAGATTATACCACAGGTCTCAAAACACAGTACCAATGTTTTGTATTGAAGAGTTCAAATGTTGTGAACCCACTTTCAAAGAAGTGTAAAACCAACGGGAACCAATGAAATTCATCAAACAGGTCAAATCTGCCACCAGGCTCATTTACCAAGCAGTGCACAAAACAAACCACACTCAACACCAGCACACAATTCTCTTCATTCACTGCCAAGTAATGCAGGCTTTGGAAAACACATTTTGGATAGAAAAATGTCTGAAATCAATGATGTGGGGAACTGACCTTCATTACTGAACTCAGCCTCAGAATCCTCACTTGTGTCTGATGAGTCATTCTGGGAGGCCTCTGAAAGGGAAAAGCAGGACTGCTGAATGGTGGACAAGGACAGGATTCTCAACCAAACACTCCATGCCTCTGCATCTGAACTACATTGTCAAGGAAGCCCCTGCACTCACAGCATGCAACAAAAATAGAAGCAAAGATATTTTACCATGAGCCTTTGAGCAATTCCAAAGGCAAGGAGGGGAATATTACACTTGCTAAACTGCACATGCTACACTGCAGAGCTGCTGCTAGGACTGAAGGGAATTCCATCATCCTGGCTTTCTAGGGTTAATACAATCCTAAAACACCTTCTGTTACCCAGGATTACTGACAATACAAACAAAGGCTGCCTGACCCCACAGATTAGGGATTTTTTTACCAGCTCTACAGACTCATTGTTTCTGCACTATGATGATTTCCAGAACAGGCTGCAAGGCCAACAATCAAACACAGGAGGGAAATTCATGATCACAATGCTTTAGTTGGGGCAGAGTGCCCCAACAACACAAGCAGGATTAGCCAATCAACACTCACTGTGAGAAAGAGCAATTTATACTTAACTGCACTACAGTTAAACAAAGGCAAGCTAATTGTATCAGAAACTCTATCAAAATTAAGTAGGAGTGCATGAAGGAACATATTTTAGTTATTCCAGGAGAGTAAAGCTGCACTGGTGCATTTTGAGGAGTATTTTCCTTTAGATCTCTCTATGTTTAAGTATTATACCATGGTGATGGTTTCCTTTACAAATATAAAGTAAAAAGATACCAGAGTCAAAATACATAAGGAATTTTTAACAATTTTTAATCCTTACAATTTAAAGTAAGGATTTTTACTGCAGACATTCCAGAATTATTTTGTTCATGTGAACAAGACTGAGAAGACCTTTTTCTCTTCTTAGAAATTTATGGTAGCAGGAACATTCTGACCTTACTATGAAATTCATAGTGTTAAATGCAGGTTGATATTTTCTAGTCTTTGCAAATAAGCAATCCAATATTTTTAATGTAAACTGTAAACTGTTGAAAAAAATTGCACCATTTTTTGTAAAGGCATTTCAGCTATTACAGAGTTTTGCCAAGGTACTGCTTTGACTAACACAGACTTTCTATTTATTTATTTATTTATTTATGTGCTCATTCACCTCACACTGACCTGAAAAACATAGTTAAGTTGCACTCACAATTTATAAAGCTGAGTTTTATTAAAGTCTATAAGTCATTATAAAACAGACTGAATTTCTTGAGAAACATCCCAATTTAAACAAACAACTTGTGCTTTAGAGTGATCAACCTGATGCTCCTCTTTGAATTTAGAATAGGAAGAAATTAAGTTTCCATCTACATGTCTGTCTACTCAGACAGCTGGAAATTAAAGTAATAGTAATTTTCATTTCTATTCATGTTTAAGTTCCAATACCCTCAGTTTTTTTGGCAAATCAAGTAGCAAAGCTGTGAAAATCAAAACTTACACACCCAATTTCTAAAACAGATGTGAGGAAAAAATACAAGTAAAAGATCTACCTGTGTAACTTTTTCCAGGAGCAATGTTTTCATCTACCTCTGCTGTTTTGGAAGGGCCTGCTTGAGAACAGAGAGAACAGTTTTTAAGGGTGTCTCACAACTAACACATACTTCCAGCCCATACAGGAATTTACCAAATAACTGCTAGTTTCCTATATTATGTGCTCACTTCATACTTTCTGTAATGTTAAACTTTGGAAAGACTCTGTTAAATATTAAATATTTATAAATCCTTACTTACTTGGTTCAACAGAATAAAAATGGGGTTAGTGGCAGCATGGTGCATTTCTTAGACTACTGAACAGTCAAGAGACTCATGCTGAACAGCAGGTTTCAACTAATAAACTAATTTTTAAAAAAGAAATGTTGATGGTTCTGCCTTTCTTTAATCACTAGATCTTTTTCCTGTTCATTAAAGCTAATATTCCTAAGGAGTGTTCTTTGACCTCAACATTCCTATCTACATTTAACACATAAATTCACAGGGATTAAAGTAATTTATGACACTCCAAGGCTGTTTATTTTCATCACAACAGTTCCTTTGAAGACTACAGACTGGTTAAAAAAGACTGGTGCAGAAAGCAGCACAGAAACTACACTTAACCTGTTATTAACACTCCTAAATTATTTGTGGTTATTTAGTGTTAATTTATTTATGTTTATTTGTGTTTATTTAGTGTTTATTAACACTAAATAAATGAACACTCCTAAAACCCTGCTGCTTACTGCTGTGGCTCTCCTGCAGCTGTGCTAGAAGGGTGAGCTGCTTACAGCACAAACAACACCACACTGAGCAAGAGGCCATTCTGCACCACAGAAACAGCAGAGGGATGGAAAACCTGCTATGTGTGGCAAACAGGAGTAACTGGAACTCATTTGGACTAACTGTTCTGTGCAAATCCCATCATTTCTGTGTGCATTTGCAAAAGCAATCTGCAGAAGCTCATACAGGTGACCAGAAATTCCAGTTGTTCAGAGATATGTTCATAAATGTATCAGCAAGAGTATTAATAGTTCCACAAGAGAAAAGCTACTGTTAATTCACAAGGCAATGGAATATTCTAAACTCTATTGCATCTGCACACTAAGAAAGAAAATACAGAAAAGACTATTGTGGAGAGCTTTTGGATAATTGGCTAGCTAAGAAAGGTCACTTTGACATGATGCTGTTGGATAAGTTTTGAGGAAACAAGCTGGGGATTAAGTAATCAGTGTCCAATCCCTGACAAGAGTCATGGTGACCTTGCTGCAACATGAAGATGGAGGAGTGAATCTTTTGCCAGAAAAATGAAGATAGCCTTGGGTAGAATAGCCACAGGAATGTAGATGTAGAAACAAAATAATTATTAGGCTATAGAAGTAGGTGTGGTTGATTTATGTGTGTTTAACCAATAATGAGCTCAGCTTTGTACTATGTATAAGCTTCATGAACACCAATATAAATATGTGTGAGCTTTCAATAAACTTTGGGATTTGCTGATCACTCATTGAGTGCTGCTCTTCCTCCGCCGACCCCACAGACTATTGTCAAAATCAGACTTCTTCAGTATCTCACTCAACTGAAAGTACATACACACTATCAAATAAGTGAATATCTAAGTATTAAAGAAAATAGTGGTAATTAGATGGTTACAATAATGCTAACTTGAACAGCTCTGCCTCATTTGATTATTCAGATTTTCAAAGAGATTAAAGATGAACAGCATTTCAAGTGAGGAACCTATGCAAAGTTCTTTGCTTGAAACACATGTCTTTCAGCTTAGATCTGCTCCTGCCACTTTTCTTTGCTGGAGGAAGGTGTTTCCCCCCACCTCCCCCCTTTTTTTTTAACCTGTTTACTTCAGAGGAGCTCCCTGATTTTGTTCCTAACACAGCTCCACAAAGACTGATGTTGGCACAGCCTGGATCATAGTCCAAAGATGGGGAAAAACGAGGAGGAAAAGGAGCCAGAGACACTGGTGGTCCTCCAGGCCTCACCTCTCAGAAAGAATTCTCATACCAATAGTGTGATCTGCAGCTGTTAGGGGGAGTGGAAATAGAACACAACCCCCTGTGTGTGCTGAAAATGTCTCCATGGACTAAATTTGCTTTTATTTAAAGCAGCATATTCAGCAGATGCACCCAGTCAGGTTTGGCATTTCCTAAGAACTCCTGTGAACATGCAATTATTATTACTCACAAGGCACTGACACAAAAAAGTATGCATCCCACTACAACCAAATATCTCAAAATATGCACAGTTTTGCATTTATTCCTTAATTCAGAAATCCTGACAGGATTGTTTTACCCCCATATTCTGAAGTATTCTCTGAATTGCTTTATCTTTGTGCCAAATACATGCTGTGACAGCAGTAAAAAAGGAAAACTAATAGTCTTTCATGCATTTAAACTTGAATATTTCTCTAGTTAAAAAGATAAAATTAGTAGATTTACAGCCTTTGGGATTAAGCACAGAGAACTCAGTCCTTTTATCTGTAATACTGATAAAAACTACAATACATGTAGTAAAACCATTAGATTTTTTTTCAAAAGTGACCAACACAGATTATTTCATAAAACTTGAACATTTTTTCCATACTGTGAGGTTTGGACAGAGGAAAAAAGCAGTATGAAAAAGTTGTTTCAGAAATTAAAACATGTCAAACAATAGATTCTGCTATCCTAATTTAGTAAGGACTAGAAAATTAAATTTAAAAAAGTTCCACCAACAAGAGATATTAATAAAACCAGATACATTTCCACTTTACTGCATTAATGCACACAACAGGCAGAAATACACAGATATGACATAACCAAGGAAAGCAAAGATCAACTACAGTGGTAACCAGATCAAAAGACTTTCCCTCTTTGATTAACAGGAAGAGTTAGTGTGCCACCCAGGCACATGGCACGTTGATCAGCATTACAGATCTTTGAAAGGAAGCACTTAGAGAAAAAATACAACCATTAAATTTTATCAGTGAATCACTTTCTCCAGGAAGCCCAAGCAGATTTCTGTTCCCTAATACTTAAGCTGTTTCTTCTCAGAAATGGATAAGCCTGGCTTTTGCTGTAGCTTATTTTTAGCAAAATGTATTACCTTATCTGTTTTCTTTATTTTGTAGCATCTCTCCAAAGGCAATGCTGGGGCAGACTATGTCATTCCTCAGGAACACCCCTCAGAATAAGCAATTTTTAAAGGTTCACTTCTTGGACAGCACCACCACCCACACACAAACACCTATGTGCCTCCAGAATTTATAGCTCTATAGTCTGGACAACCTTTGGCTTGAATCAGAGTGATAGCTACAAAGAGAATGAAGGGGAAGCTGCTTTACTTGTCTAGTCAGCATGACTTGACATGAAAGTGAAAACATCTTTTAGCTCACAGCACCCCATCACTTTTACAAATATATTCTGTCTTGTTTTAAATGCCAGGCAGAGAGGGGGAGTCATCCCTCAAGCACTGATAGTGGAGCCCTGGAAAATGTTCAAAATAATCTTTGAAAATATTGGGCTTTGTGTTTTCTCAGATCACTGCACCTACGTAAGCAGTATGATAAAAGATATAATTGTTAGATGAGATGATTGTTTAGTAATTAAATATAATTATTATAGAACCATAAGAAGAATTGTGAGAAACTATGTTGGAAATTTAAAGGGGGCTATGTTTAGCTGAAATCTGTGTATATAATAGAACAATATAAGTTTAATAATTAACATGAAAGTTATGTATGGTTGGAATCAGATTTGGGTGGAAACTACCCAGATTCCCAGAGCTCTTCAATAAAATCACTGCATATAATCACTTATGTGATTATGTGTTTTTGAACACTAACAGCACCACTTTATCAGAAAGAAAGAGATATGTATTTCTCTCCATCAATCAGAAGATTTAAATTTAGAGTTCTTTGAAAGACAACAGAAATCCCCCCCTGTCAAATGTGCTTAGACTTCACTCTGGAAGCATATGGCATGACTTGGATTTCTCAGATGCAGTGCAATGGACACTATTTTGTAAAGAAGCGATTTCAGGGCAGACTCTCTTCAGATGGCATTGAGTTTCATTGTGGGTTATTGGCCAAATTCTGACATCATTTGTATGCATGAAATGGAAAACCACAATGGGGATAAAAAGCAAAAGAATGGGAAGACTTGGCATTGGAATGAACAATGATTAGGTTGTCTTCACACCACTATCTACTTTTACTACACTACTAAATCATGCCTGTAAACCACTAATTTGCCTAGCCTGTAAAACTCCAAGGTCAGGCAATGTACACATATGAAGAGCAGATAATCCTAACACCACTCCAGTTCTGCACTCAAAGGGTGACACTTTGCTATGCCATGGTTGAGGTCTCTCTGAATGATGCTCTTATATTTCTTGAGATATGCCAGGATGAAAATATTGATTCCAGATCCCCATAGTTAGTTATTAAAGCACATTAGAAAATAGTCTCAAGAATCCTCATGTCTGAACACACACAAAATGTCATCTCAATAATATATAATATTACAAAATTAAGGGATGTGCTGTTTTGCACTTCACTGTTGAACATGTAACTGTCATTGAGAGATGTGTGGCAGCTTGCCCTTGTTTCTCTGTATTACTCAATTAACCTAATGACAAGTACACATAGGTCAAAATTATAAATTTAACATTTTACTTATTTTATATTGCCATTTATAGTCACAATTTCTTAATTACCGTTCACGCCAACATAAAGAAAAAACAATTTCCATTTTCTCCTAGCTGAGGTCAATGTGCAAACCAGATACACAGAGGTGAGGCAAAACAACTGGGAGAAAACTTAAAACATACATGGAGGCTGAGCCATGGGCCTCATGAATATTGTTTTGCTTTGTCCACATAAATAAACCTTTCAATACAATTTTGACACATACTGGTCATTCCTACAAAGGAAGTGATTGATACACTTCAGTCACAGAATCATAGAATGGCTGACTATTTGATGTACAGTGTATAAAAGTTACTGAAACTTTAAAGAAAAAATTCAAGCAGTGCTCTAGATAGCATCACTAGAAAGGTTTATTTCCCATTTAACAAAGTCATTGAATTATAGAGTCTGCACATTGTACCCCCAGAAAAATACATCAAGCAGTTTCAAAACTTCTTCAGACCAAGCACACACATATGGGTTTGGGATGAAGTTGTTCTTTAGGTCTTTTGGTATTCCTCCTAAAACTTACATGATAGGATGTCGCAGACATCTTTCATGAAAAATCCTTTCTTAGGATTTTCCTTGTGAGAAGCTGCAGTTTCAGCAACCAAAGTAACCAAAGGTTATCTGCTGCTGTGGAATGCAACAGGTAGACCCATGATTGGTCTCCTGTGGGTGTTTGGATTTCCTGACCACTCATGGCAGAGCTGGCTCTTGCTCTGTCTGAGACACAGATCTTTGTTATTCATTCTTGTCTATTCTTAGCTTAGCTAGCTGCTGAAGAAACCTTTTCCTTTCTATTTCTTTTTAGTATAGTCTAATGTAACATATATCATAAAATAATAAATCAAGCCTTCTGATCATGGAGTCAACATTCTCGTCTCTTCTTCATCCTGAAAACCCTTGTGACCACAGTCACAATAGGAAATGCTGTATCCTAACAGAGCTAAATAACTGCATGTTTAATGACCAAAAATTACTAAAAAGAGAGGCATGGAGGGATCAACACTTAGGCAACCAATCCTTTCATGAGATAAACACATATGAAAATTAGTATCATTACCTGGAGTATTAAACTGATAGTAGTTAGGATCATCTCTTTCCTGTTTCATTGTTACTGTTGACAATTTGGAAGAAATTCCTGTAGAAGCAACAAAGGAATCAAATATGGAAACCAATAATAAGCAGATTCTTAAAACAAACAAACAAAAAAAAGCACTCACCATGATCCTCATTGGTCTCTATTAAAAAAAAAAAGAAAGAAAAAGGAAAAAAATACAAAACATTACACATTTGTTGAGCTAAAACAATGGCAACAAAGTGACCTGCTGGTTTCTTATGTTTCAGTTTGGTCAACCCCAGAAATAATCTAGGATTAAATACCTCCCAACAAACTAGGCTTCCCTGAAGATGCTGTCTCAGATCTGAAGAATATTTTTTAAATGGGCTCTTTCCTCTTTGCATGCTACCACAGGAAAAAAATATATTTTATCACACCTTGTGCTAAAAGACCTGGGAAAGCTCCTGTTCATTCTTCTGTGAGAATTACTTAAAATGCCTAAAAAGTGCAGGAAATAGTCTGGGACTGACTTAGCAAAAAGTTCATGTTAATGCTTTGTGTATGTAAAAATGGAGGGTGCCTAAACCACAAATTTCAAGTTGTGAAGCACAAATAACAAGAGCAAAAAGCTGAACTACATATGAAAACTTAATTCTAAGAAGAAATTGAGCAGTGCAGCTGAACCCAGCAAAAGGGAAAGGCAGCAGTTTATCTCCCAGCACACCAGCTGCCTGGCTGGCTTTAATGGAATTTCCCATGCTGTTATCTCCCAGCACACACCCCAGCATCACTGCCACAGATCACAATGCCTTGGGCAATCATCTGCTACCTGCAGAGCAACTTAGCAATGATCTGGCAATCTTTAAATAACAAAGAACACATCTTGTTATTTATGAACTTTTTATTTCTATTTTAGCTAGAAAACGGACATTTTGTTATTTTCAATGTTTTAGGAATATTAACAAATAAATTCTTCTCTAAATTACATAAAGATAAATTTAGTCTACAATGCTGTCCTAGGGTGCCATTATGATGCTTGTATCTCCATTCATGTGTTCTGTTAATGTTGGATATTCTGTTCTGTACCTTTCAGACAGGCTCTGAAGAAGGAAAGTTTTGTTTTGGTTTTCTTATCAGCCTGGCGGGACACAGAGACTGCAGCTTTTGCTTTTTCTGCTTTTGCTTTTGGCTTTGCTCTCTCTCGCTCTTGCTTGCTTTGCTTCTGCTTGCTTTGCTCATTAGCTAGTTTAGCTAAACTGTCCAATTTCTTCCTGGACTGTTTCTCCTTTCCTTTTCCTGACTATTTCAAACCTGCTCCACACTGGGACCTGGGAACACCGAGAGTTTGCACTTTGTGGCTGCAGCAGCTGCCCCAGCGCCGGAGGGACTGAGAACAGAGTGACCACCCCCAGAGAGACTTTCTGAATTTGTCATCTCTTTTTAGAGCGGTGACAGAGTGGTGTCACCTGGTATTGTTCATTCTGTGTGCTGGGGGTGCTGTGCCTGTTCAATAAACAGGTTCTTTCTACTTCTCTCCAAGGAATCCTTCCCAAACCAGTTGTGGGAGGGTCCATGTGGGTTTGCTTTCTGGAGGGGCCCTAATTTGGGAATTCTCCTCCAAATTTGCCCTAAACCAGGACAAATGCATTACAAATTTTTGTAATTTGTAATTTCCCTCTTGAAATGGAAGCATTTGGCTAGGGTTTAATATTTGATAAAAACTCCAACTGAAAAACGGACAGTTTCAAGGAAAGAGATGTTTTTCTGTGTCACCAAGGATGCCTATTTGCTACTTTTCTTTTTTTTTTTTGAGCTTTTTTTTTCCTGTTTTTGCTTAAGTTCAGTCTTCTAACAGAACATGGTTTTGGGTGGGTTTTTTTTGTTTTGTTTTTTGGTGTTTTTTTTTGTTTTGTTTTGGTTTGGTTTGGTTTTTTTTTTTTTGTCCTGCAAATAAAGGCAAAATTTTGAACTTACCAGAATCCTTGCTTGGTTCCGTTTTCACATTAACAGGAGGACAACTATAAAATTAAGCAAATCAAAATCAATGACATTATTAAAAACAAACCTTAGATTTCTGGGAAGTTCTTAAAGCTTGATAGCTTGTTAAGCAAAACCAATCTCTCAGAATTTTTTCTAACAAGAACATAAAATTAAAAACCCCTGCATATTGGCTTATCTGATTTTTTACAACTGAATTGCCAGCAATCTCCTATTCCTACATTTTTGGAGGCATACCCAATATTCAGATCATGTTTAGCATCTAATGAGAGGCAAACACAGAAGTACAGAAAACTGATCCCTGTTGTCACATTAACAATTTTTTGATATATTACGGATACAGTATCTTCATTTACTAATTAAAAAAAAAAAATCACTTTTTTCAAATCGAGGAGGGGAAGGAAGCAACATTACATCTGTTGTCCCTCACTGCTGTACCATAACACATGGCAAACTTACCCCTGACTAACAGACTGTGAATTAAGAATTGGGCTAATTAAACTAAAGAGAAACTTTGCCATTTGTTTAACTTGTAACAGTTTCCTTACAAACAATGATCAAAAATAAGAGAAGATTGAACTTCATGCTTTTTATAATGCCAAGCAAGCAAAAGTTATTCAAAGGTCAGCTGGGCAGAAAAAGCACATTAAGACAAAGATAACAACATGAAAATAGATAGCTGATTTAAAAAATTCTACATTATTTAAAATTCACCTTTCACATGGGGGTATAACTGAACGTGAAGGAGCTGTCACATCAGCTTCTGAAAGTTAAAAGACAATATTTGAATTTCCTGTACTCCATGTACTTTCAACACAAATTGAAAATATAACATTGATTTCACAAAGCAAAAGCCTGTTCACATTTTACAAGCATATGTGCATATTTTCCTTATTCACAGATAATGAAAGATCCCATTAAGCTGTACTGAGACACAAACAGCTTTAGAATGTCACAGCACACTGAAAACCTATCTTGTATTTTGATAGTACTATATTAGTAACAGAATTTCTGTAATATTCCATCTCTAGTCCTCAACCTGAGCATAGGCACACATCTCTAATTTTACTAATGAAGCATCAACTTCTGGCTCTTTCACTTAAGAAATTAAATTTTTCCTTTTTGACCACATTCCCACAGAGATTGCTTCATCATTTTCATAAAACAAATCCCCACACTTCTGTATTTAGCAAGTAAAATAACATGATACCATAAAAGGAGGAGGAGAGGGGATTTCTCCTAAGCTAGAAGTGAATCTCTCTAGAGTTTTACAATACTCACTCTAGCTCAGAGGCTTTCATATATAGAGGCTTTCATAGGAACTACAACACCTAGCCACTTCAGAAGATTAAGTTACTTTGTAAAATTAAATATAAATGCCAAAATCAGCTGGGTAGTGGAACCCAAGCACTAGAAAGTCTTGGCATCTTCTAAAAACTGAAAGCAATCCTTCCTATATTCACTTCTCCTTCTCCTAGGATACTAGTCAATTCACATTAAATTGAAATTCAGTATAAGGATGAAGAATGAAACAGAATGGATTTGATCAATGAAACAGAATGAATTTCATCTCTAATATTAGAGTTGCTCCTGGCAAATGCATAAATGAAAGGTTATATATAGGAAAGGGCTCCTTATAAGTAAGGCAACCCACAGTTCAGAAATTTCTGCACAGTTTGCCACTTTATTTACATGACCAAATGCTCTACATTTATTGCTACCTAAACTCAAGTTCCAATCTTTTTCTGTTTAGTCTGAATAAGCATTAACTTACCTATCTGTTTCTTTGGTTCTAGGAAAGGCCTGTGTGGAAATATGGGAAGAAAAATTCAGTTTTAGCAAAGACATTGTTAATTACTTGGTAGTGTACATTACAGAGAGAATTCCTGTTTAAGAGAAACAGTCTGCAGTGTATTTAATTTAAAATTAAAATTAATTTTACTTAAGTACAAAACCAAATTTGACAGACAAGCACAAGAAAAAGAACAAATAACCTGTTGATACTAAATGAGATCTCTGATTTATTTTCCAAAATCCATTTCAGGGTGGAAACATCATAATTTGATGGATGTTTAAATGTGACTCCTTCAGGCAGGCCCTGCACTATCACAGCAGACTGGTTCCTCTGAATCTCTTCATATGGCACAGGTACTGCCGTTGACTTTCCTAAAGCTTTACCTAGAAAAAAAAGAGGAATTGTTTTGATGTTGAGACTGCTGAAGTTAGCAAAAGGATGAGTCCCTCACAAAACTTTGTAACTTTGGACAGAACTGGAGCAAAAGCAAAGTGTGGATGCAAATCTTCTCAGAAAACCAAATACTGCTGGCACTAATGTGCACTGTGCAATGATCTCAAATCACATCCCACAAAACACATCACAAAGAACCACTACATGTGTATTTTTCAGAAACAGCTACTAAAAGTTTCTAAAAACAGCAGTGTAGTTGGAAGGCTAAGATCATGCAGTTTTTTCCTTCCAAATGGAATAAAAATTTAAAAATCTAGAAGAATTTAAAGGACCCACCATAGGAAAAGCAGAAAAACTCCTCCACAGACTTTCTAAGTGCCTCCAGCTCCTCAGCATCCAGCATCTGTCTGTTTACAGCTGGTGTAGTCTTTGTTTTCTGCAGTTCTGGAGGCCTGCCCTCCTCTGTAACACCTGGCAGTTATTTAGAAAAATAAGACAAGCATAAAATAGTAAGTTATTACAAGTGCCTAGTCCCACCACTTTACACTAGAGATTCTCAAGCAGGAAACCTGCCAGGAAATTGCAAGGGTTTACTTGTATTAGAAGCAAATGCACACATCTACGTATGTAAGCAATGAGCAAATTTAAATTTACACCAGAATTACTATATCCTCACTACAATCTTTGCAAATATCACTCCCTGAAGAACATAAATGACAAATTAAGAGACACATCCAAGAAGGCTTTCTTTGGCATGAAGAGGTTGAAAATACTATTAATCTCACAGGAGGATAATAAAATGCTAAACTGCCAAGAACAAAAGGACCAACAGAGTCACCAAGGAAAAAGTAAAATGCCAGTGTGAAGGGTCCCATAGCTCTCTAGTGCTGTGCATGTCATCTTATGCAGCAGTTCTGTTATGTCCTGGTTTATTTATTCTGTATGTGCTTCACAGAACATTTAACAGAAGGGATCTGACTTTTGCCATGACAGCTCATCTCTTTCAAAGAACATTATTAAGTACACACCTCCTACTGCTGAATAAGAGGAGCTACAAACAAGACATCATCACTCAAACAGAGAAGATTTCAGTCCTACATCTTGTTCTAGTCTCTGAGCAAAAGTCACTGCAAAAGGAGTGAGGAAGCAAGAACACTTCCAGTATTAAAAAGATTAAAAAGCAAACAGAAGCGATGGCTTCGGGTGGCAGCCTTCCTTTCTCATAACTCAATTCTTGCTAAGATTTACTGAGAATCATCCAGCAAAACCAGGGGCAAACAACAGAGATATGCTTGCCTACCTTGAAGGAAAGGCAAGGGAGATCTGTGTTCCTTTGTGCAAGAGCATGATCAGGGCTGAAGCTGTGTCATGACTTCACCACGAGCCAGCACAGCAGTAAGCCTGAAACACTGGGATGTGCATCACCAGGACTGCTGGCATCACAATTCTACACTGACACAAGAAAACAAACATCAGTTTGAACAACTGATTACAAATGGGCTGTGAAATGAGCTGAAGCAGCAATGTTTTTAGTAAAACCACATTTATCATCTTAAAAACTTGTATCTTCTTTTCAAAGAGAATCTCATCCCTCCTGTGCAGATCATACATCTGCTTCATGCCCTGCAAACCCACCTCCCTGTGACATTTAGTTTGCCAGCTCTTCAGGCCTGAAACTTTTGCATTCTCTGCAGTATGACAGGACCTATCAGAACATGAAAAATAATGCAAAACTGGGATATTGTTATATACCTGTAACACAGGTGCCTAATCAATGACAGCATTTAGGATTTGCCTGTGGATTTGGGATAAGACATCAGCTTCCATTTACAGCTACATCTAATGTAGCTTTTTGAGTGGGCATTTTTCCTATGTAAGAAACTGATTCACTGAAAAGGCCTTTACTGCCAGCAGCTGCAGAAAGTGTACCCACACTTTCTAAAAACAATAAACAAACCAAAATTAAGATGACAACACTGCCCCTCTTCATATGAAAATGAAAAGCAGACAGAAAGGTGGAGAAACTTTCTTAACTAGAAGACAAACCCTTATGGGTTTTTTTCATTACATGGTATTTATGCATTTCCTTAAGATCACATTATGCATCTGCCTCCCTAATCCCTGCCACAATCATTGGCTGATTTTAATCAAGACTCACAGACAGCAAGATTTGTAACAGCCCTGCAGAACTGATCAAACCTAGCAGGCATTCACTCCTCCGGCCCTGCTGATGGACACACCAGCTCCTGGAGGTTACACAACTTCACAGGCTCTTCCAAAGCCCTTGCCACAATTACTGGAACCCTGAGCAGGATTTGGGCTGCCTCTGGGAGGGGATGTCAAGGACATATGCAACAAGATCTGGGGCAGAAGAGGGATGAGGGGGCTGATTTATGGCTCACAAAGGGTGAGGAATGGTTATATGGTAAAAGAATAGCATTCTGCACAGTTGTGAGCAGCCTGTGGAATTAGTTTCATTACTCTTCTGGATTCAGTAGGACTACAACTACACAACTCCCAACAACCCTCATTTTGCAATGAGAGTCAATATATGCTTAAGTGTCTCTGATTTTCTTTGACTGTCTAGATGTTTTGGGGTTTTTTAGAATATCCTTCCCTCCAGGTCTGACAGTCCAGCATACCACTCAGCTGGAAAAGCAATCTCCCAGCTGTCCCCATTCCAAGCAACAAATCCAGCACTGTCCTCATCTCACCAAAGAATAAGAAACAAAGAAATTAAGCTTTAGCAGAAAAACAATCTACTTAACTGAAACTTCCTCAAAAAAAAAAAGACCTGAAGATGAGATGCTCAATAGAGAACAGCTGGCACAATTTGGTATCTGCAGCTGATAGAGCTCAGGACTCCACTAGCAAAAGAACTGTAAAAGTCCCATAGCAGTTAAGGCATCTTAGAACATCAAAAGGTTTTTTATCAGGTGGCTTTCAATCCCTCAGGGAGAGAAAAACAAGAAGTAATTTTAAGAATATGAATGTGACCCCTGCACAGGCATTCTGAGAGGCAACTTAAGAGCAACAACAATCTTGTGACACCACTCCCATACATGTATTTAGTTATTTGTACTTAATGAAAGTTACTGCAAAGCAAGAGGGAAAGTAAATGGGTGCATAGCTAAAAGCATTTTGCTTTGGTTATAATGTCATTCACTCAATTCATCTGTCAGCTTTTTAAGGCCACCCGGCTTTACAGTTCATGAAAATTGGAAAATTTCCTCAAATTAAAGAAAAGTCATTTTCTAATTATCAAAGGATCACTTGAACCACAGAAAAAGCAGAATTTAGGAGGCACAAAATTTCAGGCACAAATTTTGTTTTCGACTCTTGAGGGAACAAGATGTGTGATTTCCAAGGAAATGGGACTGAACCTTCCCCACAGGTTTTTAAACCAGCTGTTAACTTCACACCCCTTGGCTGACTAGGCAGAGACAGAGCATTAAAGCTTTGTGGCAATCAAGCCAAGCAGTAGAAGTCACTCAGAAGGATTCAACGAGACAGAAGCCCAGCTGCAGATCTTCAAGCAGGTCCACAGTAGCCTAGTTTATGGGAAGAATGATTTTACTTGTCTGCAGATGATGGAATACATCCAAGAGCAAATAGGTATTCACATACCAAAAAAAAATACTGAGGAGCCAAAGCTGACCAATCTTTCCCACAAAGTCTGTGGAGAACTGCATTCCAGTCATTCTTGGATGTGTTCTTACATAAAGAACACTCAGATTCTGAGCATTTCTGAAACTACAAGAAGTTCTCCCAACCTGTGGCTGGGTGGACATGGAGATACAGGTAGGAAGAGTGGAAGACCCTGGCCCAAAGTCTCCAGCAGGACTTGAAGTCAAATTCGGGCCCATAGCAGCTGCACTGTTAAGATCAGAGTGGAAACCCAAGGCCATCAGAAGAAAAAGGCTCCAAAAAGAAAGGACCTATCCAAGATGAACCACCTACAGGTGCAAGATGGCCCCATCTCAGGCAAATGAGCTCCAAGCCCTGGCACCACCAAAGAAACAAGCAGCATGACTGGGAGAGCTGCCAGAAGTTGCAGAACCAGCAGGACTAAGCTTCTCTGCAACCTACACATTAATGGTGCAGCAGCCAGTACCAGTGGAAATGCTGGCAGAGGCAACTGGGATTTTGGAGAAGAATTGTCTGTCTCCTTGGCAGATGGGATGGAACACATGGTGCTGGGTAAATATCTTTCAAAGTCCAGAACAGGTGCCTGAAAAGGTGCTTCTGAGTCAGGAAGCTCTTCTGAAAGTTCCCTTTTGACAGGCAAATACAACCTGGGGAAAATAAGGCTTCCTCTGAGTTTTGGGGTTTCTTTGGATGCCTTATCAACTATCTCCAGCTCACATTCAAATGAGAATGAATTGCACAGAGCCCAAGGGAAACTGCCACGATGACAAAGATGAGCATTGAAGAGAACAGCATTCTCCAGATCCCCAGGAGTAAGTCCCCTGTTCAGAATAGCTGATAGCCCACAACTCCAGAGCACTCCAGAGATGCCAATCCAGGCTCTTTATCTTACCAAGGCCATGCAAGAGGAACTGAGGACCACACAACACACTTTAGCAAGGGACAGCAACTAAAACAAAGAGGTGCTGTTAGAGCAAGATGTACATGATCCTGATTGCTTACAGTGCAGAAGTATCTACATTTGTCCATAAGCTCAGTATGAGCAGGTGCTCAAAGAACATGCTATTTCTGTATACAATACACATTTACACAGGCCTAGAACATCTGACACTGCAGCTTACCCAAGGCACATGTTCTGGACACAAGAACACACAGTTCTACTGTGACTGAAACAGTTTATTTCACCATGACATAGGGCTCACAGGGTTATTAAGCAGAGTTCAGAAGAATTAAGCAGAGTTCATTCATTCGTTCTTCATTAAGCAGAGTTCAGAAGAATACATTATCTGACTCACTTTTAAATAATTAACGCCTGTTGACTGTTTTTTTCAACACTTACTACACAACTGTACTAAAAATTTAAAAAGCATTGTTATTATTAATTCCTAATATGTTTTCTTAAGGTAACAAGGTAAATGAGCTATGGGCAGGGCTCCTCCTTACCCTGCAGGAAGGCCTTAGGGAACCCATGTGGGTCAAAGTCATCATGAATGAAAGCCACAGGAAACCAAACTCCAGTGCTGCTTTCATTATTTTTATCAGTTCTATAACTGATAAAAATATTATCAGTTTATCAGTTATTTTTATCAGTTCTATAACACTAAAAAGTGTACATGCTACTTCCTTCATAAACCTCATAAATATATTTCATCAGTTTAGCTCACTAAATTATACTCATTAATTTTAAAAAAGCAGCGGGTTTGAAGCCTGAGCCCTGCAAATTCTGAAAATGCTTCATACACTACTCAAATTACACAAAGGAACTGTGAAAAATGTAGAAATAAAGACTGAAGATATGTGCTGGCTTGCACAGAGTCAGATATAACCAGAGGTGTGCTTAGTAACTAGAATTCTGTTTCCATATTTAAAGAAATATGAAGATACTCATAAGGTATGAGGAGGTAATTCTCAATATTGTCAACACCACGTGCTCCAGGGACTGACATCACAGATGAATTTTTAAAGGTTTAATTCTAACAGCAAGATAAGAATCTCTTAGAAGCCTTTATCAGTCTAAAATAACAAGAAGGACTCAAGTCTCACTTGTTAAATATACAAAGAGCTGTGTCCTTCTGGATTCTTACAAAACACCTATTAAAATCTCAACTACCACTGCCTATTGCTCACTTTCATACTCAACTGAAGAAACAATGCAACAAGGAACTGTTGCATTTAGAGCAAAAGATATTACACTACAAACTTCATCCAGACTGCAAAGCTGCCAAAGGCAGTGATTGAATCAGCATCACCAGGAATATGTACTGCTATTACTTCTAAAAATTGTTGTTCTGAAGGAATGTTTTCTAGAATTATCAACATCATTCTCAGGGACAAAAGAAAACTGCTTCCAGCATCAAAACTCCCCTGAAAGCATGGGAGATGTGCACTTAGTGAAACCATGAAAGCAATGACTGACAATAGCTGACCTTGTTCAGACAGATCTACACCATAATGTTCTGCAAGAATCATAATGGAAACACTGTTTTCAAAGTTAATATTCTTTAATCCTATCAGCCTGACAGCACAAAAACACAGCCCAAGAACAAGTATCTTATAACTGGAATACAGCAAAAGGTGAGGATTATCAAAACTGATGTAGGATTTAAACACAGGCATGCATCTACAGAAACGACATCTCATACAGCCAAATACAAGCATGGATGAGAAGCCAGTGCTTCCCACAGTACAAAATCTGAAACAGAGATCTAGCCAGGAGATCAAACAGCAAATCCCCATAATTTCAGATTCCCTTCTAAAAGATGTGTCCAGTACACAAAGTTCCTGGCATATCAGGGCCCATGATACCACTGGACTGGCAATAAAACATAGTACTAGGATGTCAGGGAAGTCCTTTAAGTAACAAAAACAAGACAAAAAAGCAAACAAGTGAAAAACTGAACTCCCTCCCCAGTACTCAGATAGCAGTTTTCACAAACAACAGTATACGAAGATTGTCCCTGTAAAAAAATGAAAAAAAAAAAAAGAAAAATAAAAAGAAATTGATTCATCTTATTCTTGATTCCTCAATCAGGTAACAATTCTACATTTTGGTATCAGTGATCTGTTACAACCCAACACTGACTTTCCTTGGAGTAAATATGTGCACAGAAAGTCACTGTCCATGCCAGTAGGACCAAAAAAATTAAAAATCCAGACCCCTACTGTCTTAGGGGTCTGCTGGGGCTGTGTGTTCTATCCCCATCTGTCAGAGCTGGGGCAGTTCTCTGCTGTTCTTGGGGCAGTTTTCTTGATCTCTCCCCCAGCCAATCCTCCCTGCAGGAGATCTCTGCTGTCCATGGCCACTGAGTGTCCCTGCAGGGCTGATCCAATTCCAGCATCCCATGGGGAGATGCTGCATTGCCCAGGGCAGGAGCCAAGCATTCCTACCTGGATCCAATGTGAGCCTGGCACAGCCCAGCAGCCTTTGCCCAGGGCATTGCCAGAGGAGCAGCTTCTGCTGCCCTGCATGGCCAGAGGGAGCCCAGGCCCATCTGCAGCAGCCCTGGAGCTGCAGAGGAAAACTCCCCCCTTGTGCAGGATCCCTGCTCCAGCAGAGCCACAGCTGGCACTGCAGGAGGGCTGAGCCCCCATGGGATGGGGCTGTGCCACCCCCTGACACACAGGGGACAGGGACTGCTCTGATTCTATCAATGGTTTGTTTTCTTTTTTGTACTATTGCATCTGTATTTTTAATTTTCCTAATAAAGAACTGTTATTCCTATTCCCATATCTTTGCCTGAGAGCCCCATAATTCAAAATTATAATAATTCAGAGGGAGGGGGTTTACATTTTCCATTTTAAGGGAGGCTCCTGCCTTCCTTAACAGACACCTGGCTTTTTCAAACTAAGACACCTACCACAAACAACTGACCTTGAGACAGAGCCTCCAAGATAATTTCATGTAGAAGCAAAAGTATTTTTGGGAGTAAGTCTTTCTGTTACACACCAAATGCAGTTGCTTTCCAAGCAGTATTTAACTTGACAACAACAACTTGACAGTTTCTTAAACTCCTCCTCAGACTGATTCTTTTATCATACCATACCCCTAACCTCCATCTTATTTCCTTCTCTAGGCAAATAATTTTTGCTATTCATTAGGCAGTATCCATCACCAACAGTTTCCTAAATGAGTGCATCAATGCTCCCCTAAATCATCACTGAATCTTTGAAACCTATCCCTAAAAACACTGTCCTCTGTGAATGAATCAATGAATCGAGTTTTTTGAACACAAAAGTTCCACTGTTTTACTGTAAAAATTAAACAAAAACCACACCCTAGAGGTACTTTAAACAGTACAAAAATAATGCAGATGTAATTTTAAGTCATTATGGCACAGATGGGTATTTCTGTCCATTAAATCAGAGTGATATAAAATAGCTACATGAAAAAATACTATCTTGTCAAAACTGTGCATCTGCTTTAGTAAAGCATGAGGTGATCTCAAGAACCAGGACCACCTGAGCTGACATAAGTACTTCTCTATCTGTTCACTGCCCTCCTCAGTCTTCCTGAGTGGAAAAAAAGTTTGGAGGAGAGGATACAAAGCAAAATTAACACACACACTAGGAAATGCAGATGTATTATAAGGGCAGACTGTCTAATATTTCTTATTGTACTAGTTTTCATATTATCTAAGAAAACATGAACAATTCCAGCCATTGTAGAAATAACACTACAAACAAGACCACTGTTACTGCTCATTTTACAGCTTGATTTGCATTAGCCAATATAATTGTAGCATGCAGCCATGACAGACAGAATTTTGCTCCCAAAATTATTAATATTATGCAATACAGATTATGCAGATTGTGACATACAAAAATAAAACATTGAAACTTACAGTATTCCATAAAATCCGTCTTAAAATCTTCCCTAGAGTTGACAAAGGCTTTTCCTCTCTCAGTTCCAACAACAAAAACATTTCTTGCAAATACACCAATACAGGCAATTTCTGCCTTGGATTTGGAAAGTTCTTTACACTATAAAAAGAAAAAATAAAAAGCTTTTATTACCATAGTGAAGATACAGTTAATAAAAATGTATGTGATATCATGTAAAACAGTTATTATACTGCTGCCAGCATCCACCCTTCAGAAGGTACTGTGAGCAACATAACAGCCAGTAGCAAAGCACAATTTACACATCTGGAATGCTTTTTATCACAAATCTTAAAAGCATTGTAGATTCATTAGCAAATGAAGACCTTGTATAGACTCAGAGATTGCATTGTTTTTAATTAAAACCATTGATGACATTAATCCACGTTAAATTCCCACTTCCATGTTAATCATACTGAGTGTCTTACTCCAACTTTCAACAAAGCATGCAGAAGTTTTGTGTATTCCCAGCACACTTGTCACACACCATCCTCTGCTCAGAGAGGTGTGGCTGCAAGCAGGATGGCTCCCTGTAGTCTGTCCTGTGCTGTCTGCTGGGCCCAGCCCCAGGGGAGCGCCCCCTGAATGGAAGGATTGCACCATCCCTGCAAACACCTACATGTGTTCTGCCAGGAGAAATCTCTGGCAAGAATTAAGGCAGGAAGCCCATGGAGAGAACAAGAAGCCAAGAAAATTGGTGAGATGACCAAGTGGTAATCACAGAAGGTCAGTCTCTCCTAGGAACTAAATCAGAGTTTATTACAACCTATAAAAACACTAACAGCTCAGCATGGGAAGAGAAAGTAACACAAAGACTTTAAGAGGGAATGGGATAAAAGACTTGCAATATATTGTCTTATAATCATTCCTCTTGAAGCTTCACTGCTAAAAAGAAAACTCTCACTTATCATTTAAAAATCCCAATTTTAAATAAACAAATCTTGGACAGTGCTTCAATTTCAAGGAAATGGGACAGGCATTTCTACTCACAGCCCTAGCCAACCATAAACCCCACCACACAATTTAATAGCTTCTAAAAAACAGATGATATGCCAACAAGAAGTGTTTTCTGAACAAGTTTTGTTGAGTTTCTACAGCAGCTGAAGACAAGGCATGAGCCTCAAAACCATTTATTCACTCTACACTACATATGACAAAGACCAGAACATACTCGTGCCTCTCAACCACACTGTACCAAAGCAATCAACAAATATTTCCCATTTATTTGACAAAATAATTTTTAAAACAACCACACCACAACAAGAAACAAGATCACTGGTAGCATGATTTATCACAAGCAAAGATACAATTACAGCTGGCTGGACAACACACATTACAAATACAACAATCCACCTTCCCTGCTGCCCAGTGGGAAGCAATCTACTGATGTAATCCTGCAAATACCAAGACACATTTATCATGCCAAAACTTAACTTCTTTACTAACCATTGACTCAAGTCCTGACATGAGGAATGTAACCACCATTCTGCTTTCCAAGGATTCCTCATCATGGATGGATGTTGTTGGTCCAAGAATTTGAGCCATTTTTCTCCTGTAAAATGAAAGGAAAAACCCTTTTCAGATACATACAACAGTGAAAAAAAAATAAAACCTCTCTTATGCAAGCAAAGAAAAAAATAAATTCAAAATCCCATAGAACACAGCCCACTGCACACAAGCAACCAAACAAATAGGTAAATTAACAGGAGAAAGTGCATGCTCTTCTTTTCATGCTTCCTGCTGTTTCATCCAAAGCTGGAGCTAAACATAAGATAAAATGTTGTATCATGATCTGGCCAAAAACTATCTGTGCCCAGAAAAATGCATTTTAATTGATTAGCTGAATTTACATTGATTTTTCTTTCTTAGTATGTCTAAATAAACACAGCAACAAACACTGGCATTAACAAACAAATGGCAAGGTATAATTATGACACAGGTATGAGAACAACCTTTCCTTATAACTATGATAGCCTAGCTCAAAACAAACAATCACCACCCTGCCCCAAAATCACAACCTGAAGACTACAGTATCAATAACCAAAATGTGACTTTCTTATTTGCATATTTTTCAGTTGTAGGATTAACTCAAAACTGAGTACTCTCAAGTAAGGTGCTAAAATTAATTACTAAATTTCAGCACCCCTTCTTTCTGTAGGTCATTCAGGAGATTTTCAACTTATTTAAAACATAAGTAATAATCAAGATTTGTTTATGCTTCTGTTGGCAAAATTGTTGATACAAGACTGATATGTGAGAATGAAGTTTCAGCAGCTTCTAAGAGCACATTTTTCTAAAGTACTTTATAAGCATTTGTATCCCACAATAAACTTGGATTCTTTGCCCATCACACTGAGTCCCCATCTCTCTCTCTTCACTGCCAATAGTGGCTTTTCTTTATCCTGGAACTGATCAAACCTGCTCTGCACTGAAAACTCAGGAGAACACTGGGAGCTCACACCTGCAGCCCACCAGGGCCAGGATGTGGCATTTTCCAGTGCATAAGAGACTGAGGGAGCTGAGCTACCCCTCATGACTTTCTGAATTTGCCATCCCTTCAGAACAGTCAGAGGTTTTACTGTTTAATATTATTCATTTTTTATGCTTGTGAATACTTTGCTTGTTAAATAAACTATTTTTTCCACTTTTCCCCAAGGAAATCTTTACCTGAACCACTAGTGGGAGGGGTTTGAGTCTGCTTTCTGGAGGGACCTTTTTGGAGCTTCCTCCCAAATTTGCCCTAAACCAGGACAAATACATTTTTTGGCGCCCAACGTGCGGCTTGAGAAAGTGGAAAAACCTTGTATTGCTTGCATTTTGGTTGTACTTATTCTAAATTGGAATAAAGCAGTCAGTAGCCATATTGCTTGAATTGATAATGTCTCTCTGGGTGGAAGCCTTCATGTATCTCTGGTCCTCAGATTTTTTTTTAGTTTTTAATACCTTTCTGGCCCCTAGGTTTACTTTCTTATCTGGAGATACTTCCAGTATTGTCCCTACATAGTTTTTACAGTAGAGAGGCACAGATTAGAATAGCTATTTTGCTTGGCATGGTGATATTTATTTATAGGGAGTTTGGAAAGGTACTGGAGTTTGTTCCAGATCAGTATATACACATATATATATCTAAATTTAAAATTATACATATATATTATGTATAATATATTTTGTTATGTATATGTGTCTCAATTTGAAAGACATGTGTCTACCAAGGAAGGTGGGAACCTCCCTTGGCATGGAGAGTATGACCCTCCTTCCATCCAAATTATTATAACTCTGAAATTAAGGAGCTTTCAGGCAAAGATATGGGAAAAGCAGTATCAGTTCCTTACTAGTATATATGTGTATAACAAGGCAGACAAGCAAACACAGCAGCAGCCAGAAGCAGAAAGCACAAACCCAGCCCAGCCTTGTCTGGGCTGCAGAGAGGAGGGCGGCCCCTCCTTTGGTGCAGTTCCAGGCACGGCCAGCAGGGGCGCTGCTGGCTCCCGGCGGGCAGGGCGGGTGCGGGGTTGTTGCCTCTGAAATACTGAGCACCCTAAGGACAGGAAATTTCCTGTTTACATGCTCTACTTTATATACATACTCGTTAATTTTCCCAGAATAAACATATATATGGTAACATTTTCCCCCAAATCATTAACATATTTTTTCTACCCTTTATGCATGCATTTTCCTGTCCTGGGGGTCTTTTTGGTGACCCCAAAGTCATACTGAGCACTCAATGAACTGGTAGAAGTTGGCACAGCCAGGCTGGCTGTGTTCCAGTTCTTCTTACAGAATGAGCATTGTGCAGTTCCAGCACATCCAACAGCACTGATCCAGCATCGAGTCACAAGAAACCAGCAGCATTTTGGTAGAGGAGGATAAGGCGGGGGGGAGAGTTCATCACACAGCTGAGACCTTCCCAAAACCAAGGATAACTAATTCCATTTTTTTCTAGGTAATTTTATGGTAGTGAGCACCGTGACTTTTTAGTCAGCCTACATGACCTCTGATACTATTAAGAGCAATTAAAAGAGTAAAACACAATTCCAGCAGCTGCTATTTGAACTGTCCTAGTGCAGCACCTAGGCATTCATACATTACACGGGAATCATGCAAACAAAATGAAATATTAATCACAGCACACCTGACCATCTGATAATTCCTGTCTTTACCAGTATAATTTTATTTACTTAGTCAACATGATGATCAGCCTAAGAATTACTTTAGTTCTATGTATCCATCAACACACAGAATATTTGAGAAGTGAATTAATTTAATCTAAACTCTACTGACACATTTTTCAGAGAGAGAAATTGCTGTCCTCACCAGTGCAAGCCGTTACTTTGTATTTCTATGTACGGTCAAGTACAGCAAACTAAAGACTCAGATTTAAAGACAAACAAAACTTTTTAATTTTTTCTCACAAAGAGCTAATCCAACACTAAGCATCCATTCACATTCCATCACCTTGGGGAAAAAAAAAAATCATCTGGTCAGTTTTCAGATGTGAGCACCTTTGCATGGTGGCTTCATGCAGTCAAGCACCCTGTGTCACCTCACTGGAGTACTGCTGCCTGCCACAGCACACACCAGGGCACTGACTGGGAAACCAATCATCCCACCACTCCTCAGCAGCAATCAGCCTCCTCCACTTGGTCACTTTGTTGTATTTGCCCAATTATCCCATCAGCAAAAAAACCAAACAATATTAGAGGTAGCAGCAGTTTTAATTGAACAGCTTAGAAAATATATAAAATCAGATACACTTGAAATATTGACAATATAATCTGGTTAAAATAAGGGGTAATTTCGTTCCAATAACAGCGCGTAAGCAAAACAAAATAACCACGGGGGTACAGAGTGCAGGATCCTTGGACCCCTGCCACTCATGTATGAGCTTGTCAAGCTAAAATTACCCCTTATATTCCATGTGTCAATGCCATCTCCTCCCAGTTTTGATTCATCACACTCCTACCTCTGCCCTCATCACCACCTTTACCACGCGGGCTCCACCACTCGGTTTGGTGGTCCCACCACCTTTTTGGGGGTCATCTCTGATGAAGGCTCTCCTCTTCCTCTATGTCCTTCAACTCACCCTTGGGTTACACATGTGCACCAAGCTAGTACAATGTAAGCCAAAACTAACATAATACTACATTTAAGCATCAAAGCAATAAATCTCTTATAACTAGCATTTTCCTGGGACCCAGCCAGATTTTCCTTTCTTTCTGTTAATTTGTAGTAACTGTTATCTCTTGCTTTTTTCTACCTTGAATATCTGCAGGAAAAGGGGGGATGGAACCTCTCCTCTCCCTTTCTTTCTTGGCATTACACTTTTAAACTGTTTTATTATTTCCAAATATTAATTACTGAATCCATATTAATTACTGTTTCAATTTCATCAGCACGAATCATACCTATTTACCACAACTTCATTCCTTCTGCAGCTCTCTCCCTTGTTCTTATTATTACATTGAACCAAATGAACCAGAACACTGATTTCCATGGAACTAATTACATGTGCTCTTCCTTGCATTACAGGAAGAACATTCGTCAATCCTATTACAAGGGTCTCTTCACCCAGAAAGAATAGTCCAGAAATAAAAGTCAACTCAACAAGCCAGAGTTTGGGAATGTGTCAGAAAATTACAAATATACAATCTTTTCAGAGGAACACAAGCTTCAATCAAACTTCTATGAAAAGGTTTCATGTCCTGATGGATAAGGAAAAACTGTGGTACCTCAGTTGTCCCTAGGGCCCCCTATACTAGGTTGCTTAGGAGACAAACTTTTATGCCATCTAATTTACATAACAGAATTTCAAGTCTATTTTTTTAGTTTAGTTACTGTTTCCTTTAAAATGCTTTACTGGATTTTGTTATCTTAAATGTGAAGTTTAAGTTAAAGAAGCAGAAAAGAATACAAGATATATTTACAAAAGGAGTCTGAAAGTTGTTCCACATTGTGAGATACTGACTGAAAGACTTGTACAGTGACAACTCAGCTAAAAGATTAGCTTGCAGGGGCAGCTGCACTCATGAAATAGTCACCATGCAGATGTTTCTCTCAAGCACTTCACATATCAAACCTTGGGTAAAAGAAGACTGCAAACATGCAAACAAAAAACTGGCTACCCAAAATATTTTGTGATTGAAAACATTGTTGTGAAGCCAAGAGAGGTTAATGAGGGTATATGTCCGTGTAAGTGTACAACTATATGCCAACCTCTCTTTAACACCAGGCTAACAGGCTTCTGCAGCAATTCTTTGTTGTCAGCTGCAGCTGTTCTTTGCTGGTGGCTGTGTTGTTGCACACAGGGACACTGATAGGGGAAACTTGTATGTTTATGAAAATTCAGAATTTTAGAAGCATATAATGTACTTAGGTGGGTGGAGGAAAACAGAAATATATATAGATTAGTTAGCAAGTTTGCAAAAAGTACAGAACAAGGCTTGTAACAGGAATGCAACTTGTTACATAGAAACAACTTGTAACAGCACACAAAAGAACATAGTTGCTATGTAAAGACCATAAAAATAAGAAAACCCAGTAAAGCAAGACTCAGGTATTACTGAAACCCATAAAGCAGAACCCAAATCAGCCAAGACAAAGTGACCTGGGAGAAAGTCAAACCTCCTGCGCTTGTGCAGAAGAAGTCAAGCAACAAACACCGAGAAAGAAGATCCTACTTCATCAAGAAGACCCTTGCCCCAGACCCCCAGGGGGCAAGGCACCACAGAAAACTATAATATGAAGTGTAAGGAGGCAGAATGGGCAGGGAGGCGTGGGCTTGGGAGATCAATGTGTATTTAAACCTGAAACCTGTCTCACCAGGTACACATGTATGGAGGAAACATGCCCCACGTGTCCCAGCTGGAAATAACATACCTGCTTTACAATTCTAAGTGTAAAGTCCTTATTCACCAACTCACCACTAAGATGATTAGACAGATGGAACAACTCACCTATGAGGAAAGGCTGAAAGAATATATTTTTGCATAAATATTTATAGCAAAATAAAGGGTAAGACCAATCTTTGTTCCCTACTGGATGCCAAAGGGAACTTAGTAACTGCAGATAAGGAAAAGGTGGAGGTGCTCAACGCCTTCTTTGCCTCAGTTTTTAGTGGGAAGATGGCTCATCCTCAGGACAACTGTGCTCCTGGGTTGGTAGATGGAGTCAGGGAGCAGAATGATCCAGGAGGAGACCATCAGAGGACTGCTGAGCCACTTGGATGTTCATAACTCTATGGGCCCAGATGGGATCCACCCCAGGGTGATGAGGGAGCTGGCAGACGAGTTTGCAAAGCTGCTCTCTATCCTTTACCAGCAGTCCTGGCTCACTGGTGAGGTTCCAGACAACTGGAAGCTGGCCAATGTGACACCCATTTACAAACAGAATGGGAAGGAAGATTCTGGTCATTATAGGCCAGTTAGTCTGATCTCAGTACCCGGTGAGACAAGGGAACAGTCTGAGCATCATATTGAGCAGCATCACACAGCACTTACAGCATGGCCAGGGTATCAGACCCAGCCAGCATGGCTTTAGGAGGATAGGTCATATTTGACCAACCTGGTCTCTTTTCATGACCAGGTGACCCTCCTGGTGGACGCAGGAAAGGCTGTGGATGTTGTGTACCCTGACTCCAGCAAGGCCTTTGACACTGTGTCCCACAGCACACTCCTGGAAAAGCTGCAGCCCATGGCTGGGACAGGAGCACTCTGTGCTGGGCTCAGACCTGGCTGGATGGGCCCAGAGAGTGCTGGTGAGCAGTGCTGCATCCAGCTGGGGCCAGGCACCAGTGGTGTCCCTCAGGGCTCTGTGCTGGGACCAGCTCTCATCAATGTTTTTATTGACGACATGGATGAGGGGATTGAGTCTTTCATTAGTAAATCTGCAGGTGACACCAAGCTGGGAGCATGTGTCGATCTGTTGGAAGGTAGGAGGGCTCTGCAGAGAGACTGGAACGGTTGGAGGGATGGGCAGAGTCCAATAGGATGCAGTTTAATAAATCCAAGTGCCCAGCCCTGCATTTTGGCCACAATCACTCCCTGCAATGCTCTGGGCTGGGGATGGTGTGGCTGGACAGTGCCCAGGCAGAAAGGGACCTGGCGGTGCTGGTCACCAGCGACTGACCATGAGCCAGCAGAGTGCCCTGGGGGCTCAGAAGGCCAATGGCTCCTGCCTGGATCAGCAATGGTGTGGCCAGCAGGAGCAGGGAGGTCATTCTGCCCCTGCACTGGGCACTGCTGAGGGCACACCTGGAGTGCTGTGTCCAGTTCTGGCCCCTCAGCTTGGGAAGGACCTTGGGACGCTCGAGCGCGTCCAGAGGAGGCAACGAGGCTGGAGAGGGGCTGGGAGCACAAACCCTGTGAGGAGCCACTGAGGGAGCTGGGGGTGCTCAGCCTGGAGAAAAGGAGACTCAGGGGTGACCTCATCACTCTACAACTCCCTGAAAGGTGCCTGTGCTCAGGTGGGGTTGGGCTCTCTCTCCAGGCAGCACTGACAGACACAGAGGACACAGCCTTAAGCTGCACCAAGAGAAATACAGGTTGGATATTAGGAAAAGTTTCTTACAGAAAGGGTGATAAAATACTAGAATGGTCTGCCCAGGGAGGTGGTGGAATCACTGCCCTGGATGTGTTTAAAAAAGGACTGGATGTGGCACTGGGTGCCATGGTTCAGTTGATGTGTTAGGTCATGTGTTAAGACTCTCTGATCTTGAAGGTCTCTTCCAACATTGTGATTCTGTCATTGGGATTGGTCAGTCTGGAGAAAAGAAGGCCTCAAGATGACCAAACTGCGGCCTTCCAGAACCTGGAGGTAGCCTACAAAAGACCTAACCAGGGAATTTGAACAAGGGCCTGGAGAGACAGGACTAGGAGGAAGGGCTTCACACTAACAGAGGCCAGGGTTAGACTGGATATTTTAAGGATGGTAATGCTTATATAAATAGCTTGAGTTACAAAATATCAACATAACATAATCTGTCTATATAATCTGATATCAAAGTAACCTGAATCATAGCTTTTTGTATCCATATAACCTGATACAAATAATCTTCTATACAATGTAACAGCTAGTAAATGGTTAACTAGTTGCTGAACAATTAATAGGCAAAAAAGAAGAAAAAACTCACCAGGTAGATAGCTTTACAGATAGACAAGCATAGTGCTAATGAGAAATCAGCAAATGTAAAGCCAATTAGCCATGAAACAAAGCATTTAGGACCAGACAGGGCAAACAACACCATGACTGCACATGCTCCAAAGACAAAGTTGAAAAGTTCAGGTGTGAAGAAGACCTTGGAAGCCTTCATCAAAGACCCTCTGTAAAAAAAACATTTTTTTGATTCGTGTCAATTGGAAATGGAATCAGCAAATGCTCGTATCTGCTGTATCAAAAATGGATGCGTTCCCTGGAATAACTACAAAAAACGGTTTTGGAACTTTCTGACCAAATAGCCAAATAAAGCATCAAATAAGAAAATAGAAGAAGTATAGTAGAGTAAAGAGATGAAGTAGCCAAACAACTGATGCTTAGAATAAAAGAGAGGAAGTTGCGGTACAGCTGAGGGATATTGTGACAAAGTGACTAAATGTTTATGTGCAATAAAAAGCTTGATGCATTTGTATCAGACTAAAATTATGAAGAAGACACCAGTGAAAGGCCTCCTTCCAGATGAACACAAGAAGGACAGGAAACCAAGGACCACCTGGAAAGATGAAATTGCTGATCCCAGCTTATTGATATTTGCTGATTCGGACTAACACAAGAGCAATGGAAAATGCTTTGCAGACTTAAAAATAGTATATATACTTTGTCAAAATTGTAAGTGGCATGTGCCGTTTATGGAGCAGTGACTCCCCAGCCACCCAGCGCCACTTGCTAGCTTTCTTTAAAATAAGATAAAAAAACAGAATTCAGTTTGGCTATTGAAATTTTACATCACCCCGACGACCCTCGAACTGGGGACATACATGGGTAGCACAAACAAACCATCTAATAACCATGAGTTCATACCATGCAAATTACTTCCGGCGTGCATATCACGTTGTTATGTTAGTAGCACTAAGCAATACTTACTGTATAAATACGCCACAGCCCTTGCCAAGGGTGGGTGGGTGAGTTAGCCGGAGGAACCCTGCTCACCACGGGCAGGCCGGGCCAGGCTCCAGCACTGCCATTTACAGCCCTGGCTCCGCCCCTTCCCTTCCGCGCCGACGGCCGCCGCCACGCGCACGGCTCGGGCATGCGCGCGCCGCCCCGCCAGCCAATGGGAGGCGGCGGCGCGGCGACAGCGCCCCCTCCTGCCCGCGGCGGAGCGAGCGCGCCCCCCCGAGCGAGCCGCGGCCGCGACCGCCGAGCCCCCCTCAGCCCCTCACAGCGCCGCTGCCTCCGGGACCGCGCGTCACGCTCCGTCCCTCGCCCCACCCCGCCGGCCCCGGGCCCGCCTCCCACTCACCCGCGCCGGGCGCAGGTAGCCCGGTTCCTGTGGCTGGAGACGCCGCACGGCTGCGGGAGGAGCGCCGGGGCAGCGGGGGTTTTTCCGCGGGCTCTCGGCGCTGCCCGAGCGGCCCCGCTCCTCGCGCGCGGTGTCGGGGCGACCCCAGCGCCGCGCCGGGCGGGGGACGATTGGCTCGCGCAGCCGCGGCGGCGCAGGCGCTCGCGGGGGCCGCCGGGAAGCGCAGTCTGCGGGCCGCAGCTCCCGCCGGGCGGCGCGCCAGGGGCACGGGCCGGGCGCGCCCACCGCGCCCTCCCTGCGGGCCCCGCCGGCACCCGCGGGGCGCTGCGGCCTCGGCACATGGCCCTGCTGGCTCCGAGCCGCCACGATGGACACCCAGAACCGCCTCCAGAACCAGCGATGGGAGCAACAGCCTCCACCAGCAGGGAGCCTTGCTTAGGGTTAGTCATGACCTTCATAGCAAAGCAGGCTTTTATTTCGTTTTCAAAGGCGTTAAGCATAGTGAATGCTTATCTATGAGATCTTTTTTCCTGGCTAAAAAGAGTCAAGTGTTTTTTTCTGACATCACTATTCCTTTTCTTTGAATTTAGGTTCAATGTAGTAAATGTGGATGGAAAGTTTTCCATTCAAAGCAAAATGCTATACTTCATAATTTGATCCCCATTGAAAATGGAAAATGCAGCAAAAACCAAGAGATTTTAAATCAAACTACCACGTTCATAAATAACATTATTTACAGTATGTGGACTCCCAAAACTGCTGATGTATTTTCAAAATGTTCACAGTGTGTTTTAGAGTTGGTCAAGAGTAACCACCAAACACTGCATCTTTAAGTAAATCTCATTTGTAAAGAAATAGAAGCATTTAGCTTCCTCCTAGTTGTAATAAATAGCAAGAAATCCATCTGGGGAATAAAGCTCAGAAGCTGGGAAAGGGCCCTGCAGGATAGGCTTTGGCCATTCTAGTAGGATCCCTGGAGGCTGTGGACTTGTACAAATCAAATACCCAGCTGCAAACACTGCCCAGAGTACCCTAAACAGCTGTTCTGAGTGATTTAAGAGATCATGGCTTTTGTGGTTCCTTGTCACTGTTCAGCTGGACATAACTGTCCTCATCATTTACACTGTGGGAGACAGAAGCATACTGCAGCAGCCTAGAAACACAAATCCCAAGCCCCAACCACCAAAACACTTCAAAACCCTAAAGAGGTTACAAATCATTGCCACATTAACTGAAACCAGTAGATTCCACCCTGCAGTACTTGGATGGTTCCTTTTTGGTTGTTAAGCTAATCTGAAAATCTAATAGTTTTGTTGAGACAATAATTATGTTTTTCAACATTGAGTGGTGTTGATGTCGCTGATGCCAGGGTGTTATTTGCTAAAGTTGGTAGATGATACAAAGGCTGAAAAGATATAGTTGCCACTAGGTATTGCCTAGTAATATCTGAAGAGCTTCAGGTGGTAGGTTTGTGAAGCTGATAGGCAGAATGGTGATGTTGTTTTACTAATTTTCTTTTTCGCGTGATGTTGTCAGTGCTTGGATCTCAACCTTGGCTTTGTTGCTGCTCAGGTTGGTGACGCCATTTTGTAGGATGGTGTTCTTGTTCAGATGGTGGCTTGGGAGGATGTAGGAGAATGGCTGGAAGAGGAGGAGGGAGGAGGAGGCGGAGTGGCAGGAAGAGGAGGGTCTGGTGGGTCCAAGATGCTATGACCATCACCATCCTGGACCGATGGAGAAGAAGGAGTAGGAAGACACAAGATGACAGAAGGACAGTAGCTCATCCGTGCCTCATGGCGGGTTCCATCTCATATCTTACTCATAGGGAGCAAGGGAGAAGGAGTAGGGGACAGCACTGTCTCAGTTTAGTAGAGGTGGTAGTGGCTAAGATCACGTGGAAGGCAGGGCCATGTGAGGTGCCACGGAGTCTCTTTTTGTAAAGTTTTGTTCCCACCAAGTCCCAGAAATCAACGTAAAATTGTTAGTAGCTGAGGAATTGAGGAAATTACAGAAGACCCACTTCAAAATCACTTTTAGTGCACATTTCTGGACTTCCTTCCTATGATTAGCCAAAAGTATTTTTAACTGTCCATATATATCCCTCTGCTGGTTAGACATTCTCAAAACATTTCACTCCCTCCAATTCAGCAATGGGCCAATGTCCCCCCCGTCCCTCTGGCTCATCTGCAGTCCATCCCAGGAATCCTCACCTCTTCAGTCAAGGCAAGGCCAATTTCCTGTCACCCCTAGTCCACCATGGTCTAACACCTTCGGAGGGACAACCTCTCAGTCAGCACCCCTGCTGATCCAATCCCAACAGCACCCTGAATATCAGTGTCCCTGTTCGGGCGCCACTTGTTGCATTGCATCTGAGGAATGCAGCTTTTGAACTGGACTAGCCAGGAGCTGTGTGCCAAAATAAAAAGGGATAGGAATGACTGGAGTGCCCGAATATCAAAGTTTAATAATGGAAAATAAAAGGTGCACTGTGACGGTGTTCACAGGGGTTTTTGGATGAGGGAAGTGACTAAGGATCTGACTTCATGTTTCAAAAGGCTTATTATTTTATGATAGATATATTACATTAAAACTATACTAAAAGAATAGAAGAAAAGGTCTCATCAGAAGGCCAGCTAAGCTAAGAATAGAAAGGAATGATAACAAAGGCAGCTGTCTCAGACTCTCTGTCCGAGCCAGGTGGGCTGTGATTGGCCATGAATTATAAACATCCAAGATGGACCAATCAAAGATCCACCTGTTGCATTCCACAGCAGCAGATAACCATTGGTTACATTTTGTTCCTGAGGCCTCTCAGCTTCTCAGGAGGAAAAAATCCTAAGGAAAGGATTTTCATGAAAAGATGTCTGCGACAGTGCACTAACAGTCAATGTGCAACAAAACATAATCCATACATTGTGTAGAGCTGCTCCAGAAGACCTTGAAATGAGGCAAGCACAACCTTATATAGACATTATCTGAGGACAGGGAACCAGTGAACAGAGAGAATCAGAAACAATACCTTATATGGAACACAAGATTACCTAATCAGAATGTAAGAAAGTGACCTCCACCACTGGACAGCGAGGAAGGACTTACAAGGCTCTAGGAAGTGCTAGATATATGAAAAGTGGAGCATCCCTTTTGAAGATGAGCCATGTGGCTGGTAGTCATGGGGGAGGGCTCCCAGACCTGTAATTTTGCCTTATTTGGTCTTTTTGTTGTATTTTTTATTTGTATTTTTAAAATTTTCAAAAGTGAATGGTTGTTTCTCATAAGGTGCAGGAAGCAACACCTGTAAATCTGAGCGTGAGACAGCTGGGCTGTACATTTAACACAAGACTTTGGTACTCCACTGGCAGCTTCTCCATTAAGCCAGTGTCCATAAAGAAGACAGAGGAGTCCTGCAACTTTATTTGAATAAAGGGAGAGAGGCCTTGGGTGCTTTCTCACTTGAGGTCTTGAAGGGCACAGCCTCCTTTTATCCTAAACTCCCAGCGCCATGTTGCCTTCTTCCTTTCCCCATTGGCCGAGGTACTAGGAAGACACAACCTTCCTGAACCATCTACCATGTATGCCTCCTTGAATCTGTCATTTTTCCCCAAAATTCAGAAACTCAAGCTTGTGCAGACCCACGTGACTGTTTCAGGAGTCAGGCTGTCTGGGCTCTGCAACAATCCTGCTGCTTGAAGTTGATAGAGACATTAAGACCCATTTCAAACCCATTAACACCCATGCCTTCACCCACAGAATTGTTGTAAAGACATTAGCACACATCTTCCTAGCAGGGTAGACTTCAAGGGCAGCACTGAACCCTGGAGCTGGAGCTGCCAAGCCTTGCCACAACTGGGATGGAGCTTCTCACAACCCTTCAGCCTCCATTTGATAAGCTTTAGCCTTGGATAAGCAACTTGCTTTAAGCTGTCAAGGCTACAAAGAGCTACAGGTAATGTCTGTGCAGCCATGCTTGCTTTGTGCACTGCTGGAAGGGTCTGGATACTGCAGGAAGGAATGGGTTGCAATGACTCCTGGAAAACAGTCCAAAACTGCATTCTTGGTTGCAGCTAAGACGTAGTCTTACTTTGGCAACAGCTGAACTCTTCAAAAATAAAAATAAATATAAAAAAAAAGCCAAAACAAACCAAAACTACTCAAAGAGGGAAGCAAGACCTCATTCTTGGCTGCATTATTACTTTCCCAGCTTTTCCCTAAAGCTGGTGGAAGTAGGGTCCTCTAGAGACACCCTCTGGCCGTGCTGCCCACTGAGCTGCATCTCACAACCTGGGATTGCTCTGGAACATGTTGCAAAGGGATTCCTCAAAAATGCATTCAGTCTTCTGAATAAAAGCACAGATGCTGTTTATGCTGTTCTTTAGTGTCTCGGTGCACTATATTTTTAAAAAATTATTTGAATCAAAGCTCTCATTCTTTAATTAAACTTCATTTAGTTGCCATCTGCCTGGGATCAAAATGGCTTCGTGTTTTGCAACTCTTAATGAGGATTGTTATTGCATTTGTAAACACATAAACACCACCCCCAGCCTCCTCTGAAATACCAAAGAGTTTGAAAGGTGATAAATGAGAAACAGGGCTCAAGCATTAGGATCTGCATCTTCACTCATCTAATTGTAATTGCTAGGAAAATTAATCCACAAACACCAGAGGTCTATGTCATAAAAGGAGACAGAAGTGTACTGTAACTTTATTTGAATAAAGGGAGAGGACATGACGCATTTCCCCTGGGGTCTCTCAGATTTTTGGAGGACACAGCCCCCTTTGTATCCTAATTTCCTGACGGCATGTCCCTCTCTCTTTCCCCATTGCCTGAGGTACTTGAGAGGTACAGACTTCCTGAAACACCTAAGACTCCCTTCTAATGTAAACCCCACCACTTTGTCTTTTCCTCGTGTCACTCAGTGGAATTTCTTGTGGAATTTCCTATGGAGTTCTTCCCATTATTTCTTTCATCTCTCAGTATCCAATTTTATTTCTCAGGAGACCTACAGTTTGTAAAGACAAATCTCTCATTCCATTTATCAATCAATGGAAATCCTTCTCATTGTTTCTTTTATCTCTCAGTATCTAGCTTTATTTACCAGCAGACCCACAGTTTGTTTCGAAAGTCCCTCA